TAGGTTTGGTTTATGGTCACTCACTTGCACACTCACAGGGTCGATAGCCACACTTGAATCACTTTGAACCTAACACTGAGGCACAACCCATTTTTTTGGAATACAAGGAGATCCTAGTGAATTTAAAATAACAGCAAAACTTTACTGGTTGCAATGTACATTTGCTCTCTCTGACATGCACACATACACTCATCCACACTTACCTGTTTCCTTCTCAACTAGGTATTATTAGCCAGAAGGGTGGAAGCCACCAAGCTGTGATCCAAAGATGACTCAAAGAGCGGGCTAGCTTCAGGATGCCTTTTATCCTCCAATGTCCTCACTTTGTTGATTCTCAAGATTGGCAGCTACACTTGCCTTGATTTTCAAGTCTCTTAGCTGTGGATTGGATTTGGGGAGGTGGTTTCCCATCATGCTCAGGCCCAACTTCTTTTGTCTGGTTCAGGTGACATTTTTCCTTTGTTTCCTTAATGGATTGGTTCCTTCTTATCTATCGCCTCTTACCTACCTCCTAATTTTTGGCATACACTCTGCTTATATGTCTGCTTCATCTTTAGGTATGGCAGCTTCAGCCTAGTCTCACAATATGAACTTTGTTTCCTTACTTTTAGATTGTTTTGGCATCAGATACTACACCACAGAAAAGAGTGAAGGCCGATACTTGGGCCACCATCTTTCCCTCCCCTTCCCCAGCTGAGTGTGGTCCATTAATTAGACTTGAAGGTTAACATGAGTTTTAAAATGGCCCCTTTTTGGGGGGATTTGCAGAAGTTGGACTTTGAAGCATTGGTTTCTTGGAAGTTTCAGTTCTAGTTTCATCTGACATTGCAGCTGTACTGAGTTCAAGGCTAACTCTGGTCAATGAGCTATGCATAATAACCGGTTCCTGTGGTTTATATGTCATGGGAATGTGGCCTTGCTAGATTGGATATAAATGAGAGTGTGGGATCCTGGAACTGACTTCAGGGTAAAAATTCTTTCTGGAAGATGTTTTCCAAACAACAGTGAAAAATTACTTCAGAATACCTGTTTTGAAATTAAAGTATTCTTCTTGGAATTCATTTCCTGCTGTTTCTTAATCTGCATTATCTGTTTTCGTCTTGAGTTAATATTGAGAAGAGAAACATCTGGAATCAAGCATCATGCCAAGCTAGAATGTAATTTATTTGGAGGGCTTTTTGCAATGCAAGCAACAGCTGTAGTGATTTATAAACCATGATTTATAGCTTAAAGCAGGAGATCTCCAAACTTGGTAATTTTAAGACTTGCTGGATGGGGAATTCTGGGAGATGACATCCCTGAGTCTTGAAGTTGCCATGTTTGGAGACTTCTGGCTTAAAGCAACCCCGACTGCTCTTTAGAAGGCCAGATCCTGAAGTTGAAACTCAAATACTTTGGCCACCTAATGAGAAGGACTCACTGGAGAAGGGCCTAATGCTGGGAAAGATTGAGGGCAATAGAAGAAGGGATGACAGAGAATGAGATGGCTGGATGGAGTCACTGAAGCAGTAGGCGTGAGCTTAAATGGACTCCAGAAGATGGTAGAGGACAGGAAGACCTGGAGGAACATTGTCCATGGGGTCGCGATGGGTCGGACACGACTTCGCAATTAACAACAACAACAACAACAGAAGTTGTTAAACTGCATCTCAGAACAGGGGTGTCAAACTTGTCACACCACAAAAACTGTGGGATAAAAATATCAAACTTACTAAAGCAGTAACATACAAGAAAACTTATATAAAATGTTTTATAGATGGCATATGACACCAGTTCGCTTAGCGAAAATGTTTAAAAATTTATTGGATACATGTTGGAAATGTAAACAAAAACTGGGTACTTACATACCTGGTGGACATGTTCTATTGCAAAAAAATATTGGTCTAAGATTCATAGATGGTTAGAAAAGATGATGAAAATTCAGATAGAATTTAAACCAGAATTGTTCCTGTTAGGTATATTAAGACCTTACTATGGCAAAGAAAATGATTATTTAATATTACATGTATTAACAGCTGCAAGAATAGTATTTGCCCAGTTTTGGTAAAATGAAAACCTACCATCAGACAAGATTATAATTTTGAAAATCCTAGATTGTGCAGAAATGGACAGATTAAAGTTAGAGATGAAGGAGAAAGAAGATTCAATTTTTTATAAAACCTGGGGAAAATTTTATCAGTGGGTTGAAACACGTTAGAATAAGAAGAGATTTTAGAGCTTTATTATATTAAGTATTAAGATTGATTATTGGAAATACTTGTTATGCTATCCACTATGTTAATTATTTAAAGGAATATTAGGGTTTTGCCAAATGTCAGTTGTAACTATACCGATTTATTCCTATAAATGTCCAGTATTATATAAACAATAATACTCAATATGAAGACCCGGATGACAGCTTGTTTGCTGAATTAAGTATTACTGTAGTTATCCACACCCTGTCCCCTTTATCCTGATTTTCCTGTACCTGCACCAACCCCACCTTTTCCCTACCCATATAAAATCTAATAAAATATATATTTTTAAAAAAACTCGCCACACCATGTGATGTGTCACGACGTATTGCAACTTTTTCCCCATTGCCAGAGTTGGGGTGGGTGCGGTTTTGATATGACGCATCTGGCCCGTGGGCCGGCACTTTGACACCCCTGCCTTAGAATAACCCTAGCCAGTAGTGAGGGATGTTGGGAGTTGCAATTCAACAACTTCTGCAATGCTACAAATTGCCTAATTCCAAACCTAGGTTGTAATAGGTTCTGTAGGCTTGCTTCAGTAAACCATGGCCTGGCACAATGTGTGATTTAGCCACAGAGAAAATTTTGGGGGTGCAGTTGCTCTGGTGTGGAATAGATGAGAATGTCTTATGTCCAACTAGTTCTTCCTTTTTCTTTATTCTGTTTCAAATTTGAGAAGTTTTATTTATTTATTAAATGTTTATGCTGCCCATCTACCCTACAAGGCGACTCTGGGCAACTTATAGATTATAAAAATATTTTTTAAAAGGTATTAAAATATTAAAACTATGCCGATTAAATGTTTGCATATTTTGCAATCCTAAATATATTTTGGCTAGAGTAAGTTGCATACATTCAAAGGACCTTAATTTTATGACTGAATTCACACATCATGCAAACCCCAAAAGTGGTTCGTTTGTTTCTAGCTTAAAATGTGAATCTGACCTTGTTACTTGAAAATAGTGGCTTACAGCAAAGCTATTAGAGATTTCCTGTGAAACGCTTGCTACTAAAATCATGAATCTTTTAAGGTGACAAAACAAGGAGGCAATTTTAAGAAAAAGCAAAAATAATTCAGACTTTTGTGGGGTTGCTGAATTTTTGGAAGAATCTGATTTTCTTCAGTTATGTTGTGGGGCCATTTGGCAAAGTAAACTCATTCAAGTCCAAGATGTTTTAATTCACCTGACTTGCAGTGGTTGACGAGACCAAGCAGGCTCAGCACCTTCTTGCTAACCAGAAGAATAAGAGCCTTATTTTAGCCCAGGGATCCTCAAACTATGGCCCACGGGCCGCATGTGGCCCACCCTGTCTTCTTATCCAGCCCACCTCAACCTCCCAGGCAAGCCATCCAAATGCGAGGAGAGGGTGGGTAGATGGTGGCGAGAGCCCCAGCCAATGGTGAGACGGCAAGTTGGTGAGAGAAGATGTTTTTTTCCAAGTTTTTCCCTCGTGCGCCCAAGTGCGTGCTTGTGCTTCGGCCATGCCCCTTTCCTCTCCTCCTCTCACCTCTTTGCGATTTTACTTCAGGGCCAGCTGAGAGGTTTAGGCCTTGTTTGCAGCCTAGGCCTCGCTTAGGGCAACCAAGCCAGGCGATGATGCTACTGCTGCTGCTTCTTCTGAGGTGGGTCCCTCGCTAGGTGCTACGGAACGTAAATCTCAGCCTCTGCTGCTGCTGCCGCCATGCCAGTCAAGAGGAAACTGGTGCTGCCGGCCCCCAACATCACCACCATCGTCGAGGGATCCAGTCCCATCGGCGAGGGCGAGGGTGATGGCTCCGAGTGAGTAGGCTTGACCCCCGTGATGGTTGGAGTGGGGCTGCTGGAGTGGGGCACCGGTTATGGGTCTGAGGAGAGCAGGCAAAGCGCGAGTTATTTGTGAGGGGCGGCCAGGGTGAGCGAGAAAAAAGGAGGAGAATTTGCTCCTGGAAGGTTATTTCAGAGTTGCGAGGGGTTGTGTGAAGCTGAGGCGATGAAAGGTCTGGAATGCCAATCAAGGAGAATATTTCTGGCTAAGAGTTAAAGTGAGGGGTCCTGGTGGGGGCAGTGTCTCTGAGGATGGTGGTTTTCTTGCAGACGTTTCAGGACCCAACGTGGGATAAGTGAACTGATGATGTTACCTAGTTTGGGTCATGAGAGGTCTGCAAGAAAGCCACCAAGCTCAGAGAGCACCAAGGTCTCCACAGCTGCCCTCCTTCTCCTCCTCCATTCCACAAACCCCCTCTCTTCTTGAATTACCTACTTTGGGTCATGAGACATCTGCAAGAAATGTTGAATGGAAATGGCACCTTGCCTTTCTGATAGATGTAACAGAGCTACTCAACAGTTTCAGTGTGCAACTTCAAGGAAAGGGGAAGCTCATCTGTGGTGTGCATTCACATATGAAAGCATTTGAAGTAAAATTGGACATACTCATTAAACAAGTGAGGGAGGAAAACTTATGCCATCTTCCCACAACTCAAAAACTATTTGCAGAAAAAGCAGCAGTTTCATTCCCAAACAAAACACATGTGGATTCACTGGAAATGTATATTTTCTTCACTTAAACACTCATTCAAATAATTAACCAATTCATTTTTCTTGTTTCATTTTTTCATTTTATACTTGATTTTACATTGTTCTATAATTATTAATTTTTTTCAAATTATAGTCCGCCCCCCCCCAACAGTCTGAGGGACAATGAACTGGCCCCCTGTTTAAAAAGTTTGAGGATCCCTGTTTTAGCTTTCTCCCTCAAGGCCTTGCTGATTTCTTTGTCTCCCTTCAGATCAAAAATAGTGCTGCACACACCCGGGAAGTCCTGGAACAGCATTTCAGCGACTTAAAAGGGACCTTGAAGAAGTTGTTGGATGAAAGATTGGCCTCCTTGCTCCAGGAAGTAGACAGCATAGAACAGGAAAGTATCAAGCCCTTGGATGAGTGCCAGAAGCTCATAGAACAAGGAGTTGGGACAGCCAATGAACTTCTCCAGGAAGGTAGGAGAATCTGCCTTTAAAACATTTTCTTTGGGGCCATAGGGGATTTCTATCAACTTTATAGCTACTGAAATTATTGTACTTAATAGTTCCACCTGTCTGTCAATAATATGTGTGTCTAGAGATCTAAACTGGCTCTATTGACTGTCAGTAATATGTGTGTCTAGAGATCTAGACTGGTCCTTCTGCATAGGAAAAAGTATTGTTAAGAATTGCTTGGACAAATCTTGGAGTTACTTTGAACAAATAAGATGTTGGATAAGGCTGAGAAGACCCAGGTTGAAGTCCATCCTGAGGTGTAAAAGCTTGCTGGGTAAAATTGGTCCAGCTGGTATAATTTAACTAATCCTTCCTCATTATTGTTGGGGGGGGGGAATCAATCAGAGAGTACTGTGTTTGCCAGGAAAAGAAGGGCATAAATCAAACAAATGGTAATTATGCATAGAATGAGCATGCATATAAAGCACATCCGTGTACCATGGAACAGAAATAAATCACAGATGATATGTCTGTTGTTGATCAAGAGGAAGGAGCTGTTGATGCCTTTCTCTGTCTTTTTTCCCCCAATCAATACACACATTGGCTGATCTATATACTATGGTTTGTTGTAAAAACATAATGTCTGAGAATACATATACACATCAAGAGGTTTTACAAGCCATAGTATTTTGGTTTAGATAAATCAAAACTCAATAAAGCTTGTTACTGAACCATGGTGGTACAGTGGTTGGAATACAGTAGTGCAGGTTGACTCTGCCCACTGCCAGGAGTTCAATCCTGATGGGGCTGAAGGTTGACTCAGCCTTCCTTCCTTCCTTCTGAGGTTGGTAAAATGAGGACCCAGATTATTGGGGGCAATATGCTGATGTTGTAAACTGCTCAGAGAGTGCTGTAAAACACCATGAAGCAGTATATAAATCTAAATGCTATTGCTATTATGGCTTCACATAATGGGTGAACCTTACAGTTCTACCAATATGTTCATTTTAATTCAGTGAAGTAAGTTTCAGAACAGTTTGCTAGATGCGCAAAAAATTATCACGGCTATCAATATACTGAGAATTTGGAGCTGGGATATCTTAAATCCAAAAAACAAATTAAAGATGTCTGTTGAATTGTTTTGACTATTAAATAAGATTGCAAGAACCCGAATTAACAGAACTGGGACAAGGATGGAATATGTAACTCAGAGCTGTCAGCAGTCTTGCAATTGCTTGTGACTGCTGCTTCTGGGCCTTCTTTTGCAAGACCACAATAATACTTAATTAAACAAGGAGTGATGCCATCCTAGTCAGCATTTTCTTCTTCATTTCTTCATCCATCCTCAGGGATGAAGGGTGGGGAATACTGAGCGTAAGGAGATTGTATCACGGATCTTGCCTAGCAATGCTATTGCAGAGATGTGAATCAGCATGTTGCTTTGCCTTTAATCTTGCAATTTGGTAGTGGTGAAATGATTTGATTGAAGATATTTAGAATTAGAACTACAATATCAAACCTACTAAACCAGTGGTTCTCAACCTGTGGGTCGGGACCCCACCATTTTTTTCCCCTTTTCCTTAGCTGTGCTACTCCCTTTTATTCTATTGGCTTTTGAAAGCCAATAGAATAGACTCTCTTGAATAGAGTCTAATTCTATTGGCTTTCAAAAGCCAATAGGAATTGTCCAGGCTGTCTCTGCCCTACTGAGCCCACCAAAAGTCCCATTCTGCAAACGGTGCTGCACCAGTTGAGTAGTCCTCGACTTATGACCGGTTGCGTAGTCCTCGACTTACGACCGGTTGGGGGTCGCGGCATTAAAAAGGTTGAGAACCACTGTACTAAACATTTGCTTCTTTCTGTAACTAGAATCTCCTTGTCTAAGAATGAACTCAGTGAACTTTAGAGCTAGCTCTCTGTCCTGGATCAGAGCCCTTCAACCCTTTGGGCACCAGGGACCGGTTCCGTGGAAAGAGGTTTTCCGCGGACCGGAGGGGGCGTGGTTTCATCTGCTGCCTGCATCCCATGGATAGGACTTCGCTGTTTGTGCGGCCCAGTTTCTGACATGCCACGGACTGGTGCCGGTCCGCGGACTGGGGGTGGGGACCCCGTCCTAGATGATCAAATAAAGATTGGAAGACTGAGTCCTTGGTGCTCTCAGGACTCCACAGTTCAACCCTGAACTTCATATATTCTCTTCAGTTGGAAGACCGATTTTAGCCACTGTGTTTGTTTATTGACTTATACCTCACCTCTCTTTTTGTCTGAATACTTCAAGAGTTTTCCAGCAATTAAACCACTATGAATTCTAAAATGTAACAGCCACTTTTCTTAATTTCTCTCTTCTGTGAAAGAGAAGATAATTAAATTGTATTTATTTTCTTTTTTGCTTTAAAACTGGATTGTTTTGAACCCATTACGACCACAATTGAGCCTAAAATTTATGTTCCTAAGTGAGAAATGTGTTCAGTGAGTTTTGCCCCATTTTACGACCTTTCTTATCACAGTTGTTAAGTGAATCATTGCAGTTGTTAAGTTAGTAACACAGGTTTCCCCATTGACATGACTTGGGGGACACTACAACCGTCATAAATATGAACCAGTTGCCAAGCATTTGAATGTAAACCATATGACCATGAGGATGTTGCAATGTCTTAAGTCTGAAAAACAGTTATAAGTCACCTTTCTCAGTGCCGTTACAACTTCAAAGGTCACTAAAGAAACAGTTGTAAGTCGAGGACTAACTGTATATCAGGGGTGTTATCTTTTGAGGAGCAGAATCCCCATAGCACAGGTACGCATGCCGCATGTAGTACAAAAGCCTTTCAAATACCAAAAGAAGGAAAACAGGAGGAGGAAGAGGATTTATTAGATTTATATCCTGCCTTTTCTGTAGGAACTCCAGAGTCACACACACATCAGAGAATAAGGAGGATCTTTCTTCTCCTTTTAACTAGGTTTGTCAGTGTCTGTGCGACTACAGCTGAATTGTTACAGCTTTATTTAAAAAGCTATACCCGGAACAAAAGGATTTTTGGGGTCTTTTTCGCTTTCGAAACCATTTCCTCTTTCTTTCACAGTGTAATCCAGACAATCAGGCAGCCTTTAAATAACCATAGTTCTCATTTTAATTCTGCTAAGGAAACCATGGGCATTAACTTTTGGACAAGACAGTATATCAAACCAACACAGTAGTCCTTGACTTACGACCAAAGTTGAGCCCCCAGATTTTTGTTGCTAAGTGAAAACACTTGTTAAGTGAATTTTGCCTCATTTTTTGACCTTTCTTGCCACAGTTGTTAAGTGAATCATGTCAGTTGATAAGTTAGTAACACGGTTGTTGAGTGAATCTGGGTTCTCCATTGGCTCTGCTTGTCAGAAGGCCTCAATAAAAGGTGATCCCATGCCCCCAGGATGCTGCAGCCGTCATAAATATGAGTCAGTTGCCAAGCGTCTGAATTCTGATCACATGACCATGGGGATGCTGTAACGGTTGTTAGTGTGAAAAACAGTCATAAATCATTTTTTTCAATGCTGTTGTAACTTTGAACCGTTGCTAAATGAACTCTGTAGCTTGACTTTAATTTACTGGTTTTTCTTTTTTCCGAACTAGTCGCCGTCATTTCTCTTATGTGAACGAAGTGGAAAATTCCTAATTTAATGCTGGTTTCAGTGGAGAATGTGTAGGCACTGTATTTTGTCTTACGCCAAGATACCATTGTAACATACTATATATTCTTTCCCATTCTCCAATCTTCTTGAATTGTCTGGAAAATGGTTGTGGAAGATAGAAGGGAGTAATGAAAAAGTGGTTGAGGCGCCTCTGGTTTATGGATGTTGAGCAGCAGCTTCCTAAGCTTGACAGTCTAACAGAAAATTGTGGATCACCAGCTCAGAGAAACAGCATCCACCTGCTTCTTATGGCAAAGCAGAGGATATAGGAAGACACTGGCGTGTTCTTTCTTTTCCTTCCCTTCAGCTACATCAAGCAGTGTAGAGAGAGATGTAGGAGCAGAACATCAACTCAGGTTTTGTACGGGGGAGGAAATTGGTAACCACTCATATCAGCCCATTGAGTTACAGAATTGTAACCTTCCTAAAGAGTTCTTCAAAAGTCCTAAAAACCAGCTGCCAGTAAAGCAGAATAATAACAGAATAACAGAGTTGGAAGGGGCTTTGGGATCTTCTAGTCCAGGGGTAGGCAACCTTGGCTCTTTTATGACTTGTGGACTTCAACTCCCAGAATTCCTGAGCCAGCATGGCTCAGCTTGGAAACCTCTCCCTTTTCTCTCAGCATGGCTGGCCCAGGAATTCTGGGAGTTGAAGTCCACGAGTCATAAAAGAGCCAAGGTTGCCTACCCCTGAACTAGTCCAACCCTTCTCAAGCAGGAGACCCTGCACCATTCTAGACAAATGGCTGTCCAATGTCTTCTTAAAAGCCTCCAGAGCACCCACAGCTTCTAAATAAAGGCAAGCCGTTCCGCTAGTTGATTGTTCTAACTGTCAAGAAATTTCTCCAGGGTGATCAGAATTTATCCGAGGATCCATCGCATTTGGACCTCACAGGTTGTTAAGGTGGCTATAAATATACACTTCAGATGAATGTCTGCAAATGGGAAGTGAATGTCACCGAAGCCGGTGGATCAGTTGTCCTTGGCTAGGATGTCCCAGACTCTCTTCTTAGTAATGATCTCTTCCGCTGTTGCATTACAGGTGAAAGTGCCATTGGTGGAATTACAAGGGACAACAGTGAGAAGCTGTGCAGTTTTACAAAAAAGGCTTTGCACATTCAGCTGGACAGGTAAGAGCCACAGATCAAGGGCTGGATTTTCACACTCAGTAGCTGACAGAAGTATCCTTGGATTGTAGAGGGCCCTCTTCCACTTAGGGTAGTTTATGTGAATGATGCAGAATTACCATTTCTAAGGTCCAGTTTAGACTACCTGATCTACTGAGGCTTATAATAGCAGCTTCTAACCTTCAGATAGCATTATTTGACAACTATTCTGAAGGTCATTGACTTATTTTGAAAAGTTTTCCTTTCAAAAGAGTAACCAAGTAAACTAATCTTCACTAGAGTTGCTTTGGATAGTGAGATTATTATAAATTTAATAAACAAACAAACCACATGCACAGAACTACCCCAATGGAAAACCTGAGCACTCCCAAAATCTTAAACATTATTATGATAGTGAACTAGCAAAGCTGAAAAGAATGTACAGATAGTCCTTGACTTAGGTTGTAATTGAGCCTGGAATTATTATGGTTGTAAGTTGAGCATCACCTAACCCGACCTGATTTTTTTAAACATTTTTTTGTTGTTGCTGTTAAGAGAATTTATCTTCAGTGGGCATTTTTTTTTTTTTGCCAGAAACCAGCAAAGAATTGCAAATTGCGGTCATGTGATCATAGGATGCTGCAAATGGCTGTAAAAGTGAGCTGGTTTCCAAGTACCCAAAATGTTATCACATGACCATAACTTTAAGTAGCTTTTGTTGGGGAAGGGGTGTTGTAACTTTGAATGGTTGTTAAGTGACCAGTCATAAGTCAAGGAGTACGTGTAAATTTGGGACTCTCAAAATTATTATTTTAAGGGAGAAAAGTTTTCTTCACGGTGGGATAGGTATTAAGTAAACCAGCCCAATGAATTTTCTGAAATATTTCCTTGGCGAGAAACTTAACTAATCCAGAGTTCTTTCATTCCATTTTCATCACCTTTCAAATTTATATTTTCCATTTGGGAAACACAAGGTGCAAAACTACGGGTACAGAGGAGGTGATGCTAGAACCCTGCCTTCAACCTTACGGAGGTAGGGTTGGCGAATAGAAATCTATAGCCTAACGTTTTATACCTGTTTTAATGTACTTCTCTTTATGCTAAAAATAAAGAAGATATGGATTGGAGTGGCTAGAGGAATTAATCTGACACATTTTTTTTTAAAAAAAATACATCAAATCAAGAGTTCCAGACATTGTTAAAGGATCAGAGTGACAACAGTTCCTCACCTATTGTGTATTGATAACATTTCCTCTCTTTAGTTTACCTGAAGTGCCACCGCTGGTTGATGTGGCTAGCTTATCTGCTCAATGGGACGACTCCTTTTTTACAATAATGAAAAGCTACATCTTCAGCCATGGAACAGTAGCATCTCGACCACCCATACAGATAGAAGAACTGATCGAGAAGCCTGGGGGTATCTTAGTACGATGGTGCAAGGTGAGTTAGCAGCCTTTTCAGGATCAAATACACAGGCATTTTCTTTTGTGTTGTGCTTAACCCAACAGCCCGGTGGTGATTTTGTGCTGGGCGGAAACACATTACAGGTAATCCTCTACTTACGACCATAATCGAGCCCAAAATTTCTGTTGCTAAGCAAGACCATTGTTAAATGAATTTTGCCCCATTTTACGACCTTTCTTGCCACAGTTGTTAAATGAATCATTGCAGTTGTTAAGTTAGCAACCCAGTTATTAAGTGAATCTGGCTTGCCCCATAGACTTTGCTTGTCCAAAGGTTGCAAAATGTGATCACATGATCTTGGAAAGAAGCAACGGTCATAAACATGACCCAGTTGCCAAGCATTTGAATTTTGATCATGTGACCATGGGGATGCTGCAATGGTTGTAAATGTGAAAAATGGACATAAGTCACTTTTTTCCAACAGTCGCTAAATGAACTGTTGTAAGTCAAGGACTACCAATATGTGAAAGAGGTTTGGGATCTTTCCTTTCACATGAAAATCTCTTCCTTGAGAATAGAACACAGATAGTGGTTAATACAATGAATAGTGGCTATTATGTGGGCTTTATTGATTTCTGTTTAAGATAGCATTCTTTTAAAATTGTAACTAATTTAATAGCTGTCTGGTAACTGGCACATTGTGAAATAGATTCTATGTGATGGTTTCTGCCTCTTAATACAGTAGTGGCCAAAATTGTGGAAACCTTTTGGAAAAAGTGTACAGTAGAAATGCCACCTTTGGTTAAGTTTCCATCAATTTTTCTTCTAATTTCTTTATAACTGTAGCCTTGTTCACTTAATAATACTATTTTACATCGCTTTCTGGGCAACCAGTCAATTCTTTGCACCATTACTTTAATTTTATTACGTTCTACAAGCTCACTAAATGAAAGGAAAAAAAAACCCAACCAACTTGATAGCAATCACATAACACACTGACAAATGTCCTCCTCTCAGCTTCAATACATGATATCAATAACTGAATCCTACTGTGATTTGACTGGCTCATTGCCAAAACAAGATGACACTTGATTGGCTCTGTAAACACTCATGCTCACTGGCTACCATCATATGAAGGAAAGCTACCTGATATCAACCTAAGCAAGTTGTGCTTCCTTTTTCTGGTTATTTGGCTATAACTTTTCATAGAATACAGTACAGATAATTGAACAAACTATGTTGCATTACATTTTTGATTAAATTATCTTTCCATTGATATATACTTTTATAGTACTACTCCCCCCAAAAGGTTGTGTTATTAGCCATCAAACCTCAAAAATACACTTTTCCCAAAAGATTTCCACAATTTTGGCCACTACTGTATTTATATCACTTTTCCAGATACCTTGGGACTGGAATTCTCAGGATTCCAGCACATCTGGCTGGCATAAGCACTGGAAAATGTGTTTTGTGCCTAATCGCTCAATAGTAATTTTGCAATTGTGTCCATCGTAATACCTGATAATGCCCAGTGTGCTTCTAAACCCAAACTACTTTACTGCATCTGAGTGATCAAGCTTGAAGTCTAAGCTTGAAGTCTTTGCCTTTCAGAAAACAAGTTAATTAAAACAATGTTTAAAGAAGGAAGAGTTTAAGATAGGTAACAGTGTCATTCACCTTTGCTTAGGTTGATGAGGACTTCACCCCACAAGACTACAGACTTCAGTATCGCAAGAGTACCACTTGCCATTTTGAAGATGCGTACATCGGTTCAGACACAGAATTCACGGTGTTGCACATCGACCCCAACATTGATTATCAGTTCAAGGTTTGTGCACGGGGAGACGGCCGTCAGGAATGGAGTCCATGGAGCGTTTCTCAAACTGGGCGTTCCACATTAGTGCCTCATGGTATGTATTTGGTCATTTCATTCTGCAATAAAAAGATTTCAATCTCGCTTCATCTTTTTTTCCTCGACCTGTATATCTATCGTGCACTTGCTCTGTATGATTAATTTTCACATTCAGGTACGTTTGTTTGATGCTTAAGGCCATTTGTTACACAAATGTTTAGCTTTATGAAACATTGCCACATTTTCAGGCGCAGAGCATATATGAAATAGTTTAAAGTTGGTTTTTAAGCAAAATTTTAATTCTGAGTTCTCCTTTACAAATGTCAGCTTATTGATCGTAACGAGGCTTGTGTCATTGGTTAAGCTCGTAGGTTTGTATGGGATCAGACTGTTTGTGAATTACAGTTAGTCCTCAGTTGAGCCCCAAATTTCCATTGCTAAGCAGTTTTGCTCCATTTTATGACCTTTCGTGCCACAGTTGTTAAGTGAATCACTGCAGTTGTTAAGTGAAACATTCAGTCATTAAGCAAATCTGGTTTCCTCCGTTGACTTTGCTTGTCGGAAGCTGGCTGGGAAGGCGGTGATCGCGTGACCCCTGGGGACAACACAACTGTCATAAATACAAGCCAGTTGTCAAGTGTCCAAATTTTGATCACGTGACCCTGGGGATGCTGCAATGGGCGTAAGTATGAGAAACAGTCATAAGTCACTTTTTTTCCAGTGCCGTTGTAACTTTGAATGGTCACTAAACCAACTGTTGTAAGTTGAGGGCTACTTGTACATTCTTCTTTGTGCACTTTCCTATTTTGGAATGTGTACACAATGTAACTAAAAAGGGAAGCAAAGCACATATTTTCAGAAAAGGCCGGCCTGTAGTGTCAGTGAATTAAGAATATTATGTTTTATAAGCTTTTTCGCAGGCTAGGGACCTCTGCATTAATGTCAGTTCTTCTTTCCTTAGAATGGGCTCCAGGCATGGAAGGCTACAGCTTGAGCAGCCGAAGAAACATAGCCCTCCGAAACGATTCGCAGGCAGGTGGAGTGCTGTATTCCAAGGCTCCAACTTACCATTGTGGCCAGACGCTGACATTTCGGTAAGGAAAGATGAATCAATCCATCTGGTTGTATTTTCTCAAACAGGATTTGATGGCATCGATCTCTTCCTTTGCTGAGTTGGGCTGTGTTCTAGTTATCCAAGGTGGATTCTCTAGGTCAGTGGTTCTCAACCTTTTTATACTGGCGACCCCGGTCATAAGGACGCGCTGCGCATGCGCCGCGCGCCGCACATGCGCGGTGACGTCCCCATGCACGGTGCGCATGCGTGTCAACATCCCCATGCGCAGTGCGCAGCAACGCCCCTGTGCGCGGTGCATGTACGCGGCGGTGCCCCCATGCGTGGCGCGCATGCACACGTGTCCCCATGCGCGGCGCGCATGCGGGGTGCTCCATGCGTGGTGCCCATGCGCAGCGGCGTCCCCATGTACAGCAGCGTCCCCATGTGCAGCATGCATGCGCGGTGGCACATGCGCTGCCCCATGCGCACCGCGCATGTGCGGTGCAGCGCACATGCGCGGTGCCGCCAGCTGAGAAAAAATGGTGGGTCGCATTGTTTGTCGACCCCCGTGAAATGGTGGTTCGACCCCAAATGGGGTCGCGACCCACAGGTTGAGAACCGCTGCTCTAGGTACTGTGTTTTCCCCAAAATGACTGGGTCTTACACTAATTTTTGCTCCAAAAGACACATTCAGGGCTTATTTTCCAGTTAATACCAGGGGGAAACATGGTATTAACACCTGGGAGACAAGGAGCAATTGGGGTGGGAGGGCAAAGACGGGGACGGCTTAAGGGGCCAGCACAGGATTTTGAGCCAAGAAGGAGGGAGGAGCAGCAGAAATGGAGGGGTTAAGAGGCAATCCACATCTCCTTGCAAGCCATATGTTTCTCCAATCCCCCTCCCTTGACCCACAGTCTCACCATGTCGGCTGCGCTGCTGGGCTTCAGCGGCGGCAAAGGCGATCAGGGATGGCGGTCCTGTTCCAGTGCCCGTCCGGGAAGTCCCTCCAGCCCCAATCCCCAGGGAAGACTGGAACTGGTGGCTACTTTCTCTTCCTCCTCCTTCCCTGCTCCCTGGTAAGGGTTGCAAAAGAAACCCTCTGAAAATGACGGGGGACCGAGCAGGGTACGGATCGAAGATGAGGGGCAGAGGAAATGAAAAAAGGGCGCCAAAGTTGACCCTTCCCCAGCGTTCCTCCTCTTGTTCCTCCGGCTGCGATCGCAATATTGCCTGAGGGATCAGCAGGAGTTGATCCCAAATGAGGCATCGGAGCTGGGCGTGGGGGAGGGAGACACATCAAAATAAAGATGTTGCTCATTAACCCAGCTAAATCTTCTTTCCATGCTTAACCCCCCCCCTCCAACATTTAGAAGCTGGACAAGAATCCAGTCTGGCCGCAAATGGAGGCATTTTGCAGCACTCATCCAATCTAGCCCGCTCGCTGCCTTGCTGCTGCCTCTTGCGAAGGAACACAAGAACTTGGCTCCGCTCCCCCCTGCTAGACCATTTTTAAACAAAACTGGTGCAAGAAGCACTTCTCTGTGGCACGTTTGCCTAAATTTGCCTGTTCTCACACCGAAAGGCTTGTCAATCACTTGAAGCTGAAGGCGCCTTTCAGGGAGATTTTAAAATGGGGGTTAAAAATGAGATCTGTTTGAGACTGCACGCTTTGGCAAGAGGAGCTTCAGCTGGGGAGTGGGGCAATTTATCTTTCACCCAGACATGCATCTGCTCTCTCTCACCCCTTCGGACTCTGCCACTCTGGCCTCAGGATGGGAGGAGGGGACCGGGGCATCCCTGGGAGAAAGGCGGCAAGGGCGCAAATCTACTTCAGCTGCGGCTAGCTGTTTGCCTACTTACCAGCTGGGCAAGCGACAGCTGAGGTGGCCCTACCGGCACTGCCTTAAGTGGGGCTTATTTTTGGGGTAGGGCTTATATTACGAGCATCCTGAAAAGTCACGCTAGGGCTTATTTTCCAGTTGGGTCTTATTTTGGGGTAAACATGGTATCACTTCTGGTTTATATGCTCCAAAAAGCCCCAAACAAATGAAACCTAGACTTTAATTTGAAGATTGAATAATTGTGTACCGGTAGCCCCATTCAAAGGGCGTTCGTTCCAAAGTGCATAGCTAAATGGTGCAGGGCTATGAAAGGATTTCCAGGGGGGAAAAATTGCGGGCTACAGGATTCAGGTGACCCTGAGAGCACAGATAAACCTCCAAGTGCCCTCAATGACTCTCAGAAAGAGGGCTAACGACCAGATGGCTTCAAGGAATATAAATCCTTCCATTCTCCACCATTCAGTCAGAACTGAGGAAGCTTCTTGGATGAGAAGCAAAACGTCTTCTAGCAAAACAAGAAAGTCCAATTGCCTTTTGAAAGACAGGCCCTTTGGGACAACCATGACCTGAACAACTGAGAATCTTCATAGACATGTGGGAACAGAGTGAAAAGTGGAATCGGCCTAGAACAGTGATGGTGAACCTTTTAGAGACTGAGTGCCGAAACTGCAACCCAAAACCCACTTATGCATCGTCGGGTGCCGGGTGGGTGTGGCCCATTGTCTGGGTGTGGCCCATTGTCTGGGTGTGACCAATTGAGGGTGTGGCCCATTGGGTGGACATGGCTGCGGTGGTAACGGCAGACTGGGTGGGGCTAATAAGTTCAATCAATCAATTCCAATTTTGCAAAAGTTGAAATTGACTGAACCTTTTTTTTTTTTTGTACACAGCAGCGGAGGCCTAAAGTGATAAGGTTTTATAAAACCCAGCTGAAGGCCTAGGACTGGGGTGATGGCACGCGTGCCCACAGAGAGGGCTCTGAGTGCCGCCTCTGGCACCTATACCATAGGTTCGCCACCAGTTCACCACCACTGGCCTAGAATCCCTATGTAGCCACAAGAAAACTAAGCCCAACCTCCCCCCCCATGTGTGCCAGATCATTGGCTGAGAAGATTCCTCTACATCAGGGGTGTCAAACTCAATTTCATTGAGGGCCGGATCAGCATTGCGGTTGCCCTCAGGGGGCCGGGTGGGTGTGGTCAGGGTGGGTGCGGCCTATTGGGTGGGTGTGGCCTATTGGGTAGGTGTGGCCAGCTCTACATCATTCGCGTCAAGGGTGCCTGTGGGGGCCTGGGCAGGAGTGGGATAGATCTGAGGGTCTCTGGCAGAAGGGGGTGGGACCAGGGCAAGTGCCAAGGCATGGTCCACTGGAGGAACCTCACTGTTCCTCTCAGGTCATGTGTGTGGGGGGGTGGCTTATGGAACTAAGACTGAATGCGTTTCAGCATAGATGGCCACCACAAAATTGTACATTGGCTCCCGGCTGGCCAGGGCCAAGGCAGAGGGGGCCGTTCCCTCATTGTTTCCAGGATGGCTTCACGGGCCACATGAAACCACTTCGTGGGCCGCATCCGGCCCCCGGGCCTGGTGTTTGACATGTCTGCTCTACATAAACTTTTAGCAATGAATCAGTTTAGTTGAATCTTCATGTGTAGGCCTGCTTTTTGCCACCTGATACCTTAGCAGTTTTCCCGTTGAGTGTTCTACCTTCATAATCACTTCCCATATTGCTGGTACTGTTTAGAGCAGTATCAGCAACATGGCATGGCATGGCTGGCTGAGGAATTCTGGGAGTTGAAGTCCACAAGTCTTAAAAGTTACCAAGTTTGAAGACCCCTGGCTTAGAGATATCCAAGGCCCTCCATCCAGAGCATATAAAACCGAGTGACCTTTTAAAGCTTTTTTTTTATTTTTTTAAACTACCTGATATCTTGACTGAATTTATTTTTCCACCTAGAACAACTGCCTACAAAATGTTGAATTTCTTATTTTAAAATGGAATTAAACATCACAATGAACATACCACAGCTGCACTTGCAGTTTGGTAAAATCTCTGAGTGAATTGTGTGATCGCTCCGATGCAGTAAAGCTTTCTCTTCCTTTGGAGAAAATGAGCTGGTTTTCTGAACCATGCCTCTGAATTGGTCTTCTAGCCATTCAAAGTAGAGTGGGAAACCGGTGCATTTCCAGCTTTGGTTGAATTGCAAGTCTAGCAGTCGTCCAGCCACTGGGAATCTAGCAGCATCTGGAGGGTGACTAGTTTCTCCTTTCCTAGGTGGGCTTTTCTACTGTTGGGGAGCCTTTAATCATTTGAAATCAAAACATTCCTAGTTCAAGTGAAGTGCATTTCCTGTTTCTTTGTGGAAGAAAGACAGGACTCGGTTACTGGACATTTAGATTTAGGGAGCCAGATTGTTCCAAGCTGACCCATCCTTTGGTCTTAAATGTTGGCTTTCTCTGTTACTTGGCCTTGGGCTTTACCCACCCCAAACTTTGTTTTCCAGCAAAGAGGAATGTCTGTCCTTGAATTCTCTAGATTTCCTTGGCCAGGCTTTTTCCTCCACTCTTCTTTGTCCCTATGGACTTCATTATCTTTCTCCTCAAGGGCTGCTCTGCTCTTCTTTTGTGCTGGGGCTGACAGGATGTGTGTGTGAAAAAACTGGGAAGCAATAGCCTTTGCCAAACTGCAGAGAAACAATGAGGTCAATACTCAACTGAAGGAGGAGAAAGTCCCTAGGGCATCCAACAGGGTGGGATTTTATTTCAAAATTGGAATCAAAAAAAATCCAAGGGAGATGCGAGAGAGTTTGGGATAATGGCGAGAGATTTTGTCATAACCTAAGTGTATAGCAGGAAGAGAGACTGACATTTTGCTCTTTTGTGGGTCTTGTTGGAAGAGAACAATGAATTAAATCTCCTTTGTAACGATATAATTGCTTTCGGAAACTGAAAAACACTCTAAACTGCCCTCCTCCCAACCTTTTTGCCTAAGGTTTTGTCTTTCAGAGTTTCAGTTGGGGTTAGAAGGGTTGTGTTAGAAGCTGTTGGATTTATCAGTATTGGATTATTTGGTTTTGATCGGTTTCTATACTTTGTTTCTGCAAGACATCAACAAGCTTTTCTGGATAGATGTTGGGAAATGCCCAGCCGGGCAAGGAGGGAGGAGGAATCAAGCGGGAAGGTAGCCTTGAATCACTCTGTAGCTAAAAGAGATCCAGGACTGCCCCACTCCAAACTCTATGAAACCTTATCTATCTGTTCCCAAGGGAAAGCAATCTCTGGGGAGATTCCTGTACTATGGGCAGAATACAATAGAATAGTTAGCTTGAACTCTCCGTGTGTGGCTCTGGTTATTTGTACTGCATAATAGGGTGTGTGTGTGTGTGTGTGTGTGTGTGTGTGTGTGTGTGTGTGTAAGGGTTTTTAGTTAATTTGTTGAAGTACATCAAGGATATATTGTAAACGCAGATTCCTAAAAGAAAGATGCACAAGCTTGATGGAGTCTGATTTGATATTTGTTTTTTGTTTTTTTAATTTTTAGTAATGGAATTCATTTTTTTGATTAAGAAAGTTCGCACAAATAATTGGAAATAATTCTAAGCCTTGAAAAAAGGAAGAATATTCTGTAGCGTGGCTCAGTGAATAAGGAAAATCACGAAGCGACTTGTAACTGCTTTGGCATTTCAAGAAGAAATAAATGTCTAACGAAAAATTTAGATGGCCACAACTGCCCATAGCCATTACCACATTCCTATGCTGCGAAGGGGTTGATGGGTATGCGGAGGTTGCAGAGGGTTGCAGACAGGCCAACCCAAACAACTCCCCAATCCCAACTGCATGTTGTGTGGAGATGCACGCCTTGCTGCCGATTGGTTCTGACTTCCTGCTGGGGGGGGGGGGAGAGAGGCAAGTCACGTTCAAATGGGAAATGTTAACATTTGCTGCTGTACAAAAAGAATGGCTATGCAACCGTCCCCAAACGACAGCCGCATACAATCCGTGCAGTGCTGTGCAGCAGAGGTCTGTTCCAACCTTTGTAATGTACTTGATCAGTCCAATAGGAGTTGGCATTTTAGTGTCTTTGTGCCACCCTAGAAAAGGCTGTGATAGTCCTCGCCTTCATGTCGGGGCAGCACCAAATGGAAGATCTTGACAGTCCCCGCCTATGTCCTGTTCAAAATCAGTCTTGTATAGCAGGGGCCCCCAACCCCGGTCCATGGACCAGTACCGGGCTGCGGCATACCCAGCAACCGGTCCACACAAACAAGCAAAGCTCCATCCGTGGGATGCAGGCAGCACACAAAAACACGCACAGTCTGGTCCATGGAAAAACCTTTCTCCACAGAACCGGTCCCTGTTGCCCAAAAGGTTGGGGACCTCTGCTGTATAGGGTGTCCTATTCTGTATTTCAGAGATTGCATTAAGTAATGTTTCAACTTCACACGTGTCTGGAGTTCCCTTCCTCCCTCTGAATACTGTAAGCTACCCATGTTACCAGGAATCAAGCAATATATAAATACACATATACATACAAGTATATAGTTTATTTTTAGGTTGCCATTTTATCCGTGGTTTGTGCTTTCTTGTAAACTTGCAAAACGTTCTATTTTGGGCTTCTGTCTCTGCAAGAAATTGCTGGATTGGAGCACAAGTTAATCCATATAACCAAATGGCATTTCCATGCACTGTAGTCATCCATCTAATAAAGATGCCTGGGTCACAGTTGGTAACCATTAGTTTCATGCTCTGCTTGGATACCTCCCAGAGACATCTAATCAGCTCCTTTTGGACATGAAACGCTAGCCTAGAGGTTTGTTTCTCACAATGGACTTCTTATGTTCTTACCAGCTAGAGTTGTAATAAGAACTAAATGTAGCATCAAAGGGGAACACGTCAAGCTTAGTGCAAAATTTCCACACCAAAATATATTGAAGTCCATGGTTAAAAGAGCTTAACTTAAAAACAGCCTTTTTCAAAAATGTATCAGCAGCAACTTATAATTAAGGATGAAACAACTGCAGATTGTAAATCTCAGCTTTTTTTTTTTTTTTTTTTTACAAGTAACCTTCTCTTATGGATTGCTTCCAGATGTAAGAGATTCCTCCTCCCCCCCCCAAATTGTAACATTAGCCTTCAGCTGAGTCTCTTCCTGAAGAAAAGGAAGACTGGCTAAAATATTAGCAGGACAATATGGTTCCTGTTTTGAGGTCTACTCAAAATCAAGGGGAAGAATTAACTCATTGCTGTCCGACCTGTACTCCTGAAAAACGGGGAAGGTTTTAACATTTCCCTGGTTTTGAAATAATTGTGCTTAAATTTTGCTGGCACATGTACTGTAGCTGCACAAACTGTTACAAATGTGATTGCTTCTAAAACGAACCTAGTTTTGTTTTTTTTTTCCTTGTACAAATATACCAGCCAGAAGAAGCAGGCCACTTAAAGGTTTGCTTACCTTTAGGTTCTTATCTTCAACAGGGCAGGTAACACTCCATTGTAACTTTTAAAAAGAAGGAATAAATTTCTAGCTCATGCTCCTTTTCCCATTTTCCTTCCTTTTCTTAGCAAACAGGATTATCTCCTCCAGAAGCAGTAAGTGCTCCAATACTGGAAGTTTTTAAGAAGAGACTGGACAGCCATTTGTCCGAAATGGTGTAGGGTTTCCTGCCTGAGCAGGGGGTTGGACTAGATGACCTCCAAGGTCCCTTCCAACTTTACTACTATTACTATTACTAATACAGGTAGCCCTCAATTTACAACAGTTCCTTTAGTGACCATTCAAAGTTACAGTGTCACTAAAAAAAGTGACTTATGACTGTTTTTCACATGTGACTGTTGTGATATCCTTATAGTCATGTGATCAGAATTTGAATGCTAGGCAACTGACATGCATTTATGACGGATGCAGTGTCCCGGGGTCGTGTGATCACCTTTTGCAACCTTCTGATAAGCAAAAGTCAATGGGGAAGAAAAAATTCACTAAACAGCCGTGTTACAAAACAACTGCAGGGAATCGCTTAACATCTGTGGCAGGAAAGATCATAAAATGGGGCAAAACTCACGTAACAGCTGTCTTGCTTAGCAATAGAAATTTTGGGCTCAATTGTGGCCATAAGTCAAGGACTACCTATATGTCTCAGGGTTTCCTCAAGAGTTGTAAACATAAAATTCCAAACGGCTTAAATGAAATCCGGAAGATAATAATTTTTCCTGTTTTTCCTTGGGTTAAGATTTGTATATTCTGCTATTCAGGCCGTGACTTCAATCGTTTGAAATTTCTGCTCACATTGCAGATTTCTGCATTTCCGGTTGCTACCGTTCTTAATATAGCCTTTGAACACAAGATCTGTTCCGGAGATTCTGACAATAAATGCTTATTTGATTACTCATGAAAACTACTTTGGGCTTGTTTAAATAATGAAAAAGTGGGACATCTGCTCATAAATAAATAAATGGAGGAGTGTTTAGTCTGAAAATGGCACTCCGTAGAGAAAACTGAATCTTCCGAAGGAATGTATTTAAAGATAAATAATTATTTTTTTGAGATGGAAAAGCAACAAACTGTGACATTTTATGACAGCAAACATCTTATTAATTAATGGTGACAGGAAGAATGTTACTTCTCCCAATATACCTGTAGTAGGAAGAAGAAACTGTATGGCAAATAGCTAGACAGTAGTTTAAATTGTTCATCTAATTGTATTGTTCAGAGCATCAGGCAAGAGCCGTGGTGGCGCAGTGGTTAGAATGCAGTATTCAAGGCTAACTCACTGCTCACTCCAGGAGTTTGATTCTGAGGGGCTCATGGTTGACTCAGCCTTCCATCCTTCCGAGGTCGGTAAAATGAGGACTTAGATTTTTGGAGGCAATAGGCTGACTCTGTAAACCTCTTAGCTTAGAGGTCTGTAAAGCGCTGTGAAGCGATATGTAAAGTCTACAGTGGTGGCCAAAATTGTGGAAACCTTTTGGGAACAGTGTACAGTAGAAATGCCACCTTTGGTTAAGTTTCCATCAATTTTTCTAATTTCTTTATAACTGTAGCCTTGTTCACTTAATAATACTATTTTACATTGCTTTCTGGGCAACCTTTGCACCATTAGCGTTAATTTTATTATGTTTTACAAGCTCACTAAATGAAAGAAAGAAAAAAAAAAGCCCAACCAACTTGATAGCGATCACATAACACACTGACAAATGTCCTCCTCTCAGCTTCAATACATGATATCAATAACTGAATCCTACTGTGATCTGACTGGCTCATTGCCAAAACAAGATGACACCTGATTGGCTCTGTAAACACTCATGCTCATTGGCTACCATCAGATGAAGGAAAGCTACCTGATATCAACCTAAGCAAGTTGTGCTTCCTTTTTCTGGTTATTTGGCTATAACGTTTCATAGAATACAGTAGAGATAATTGAACAAACTATGTTGCATTACATTCTTGATTAAATTATCTTTCCATTGATATATAATTTTATGGTACTACTCCAAAATAAAAAGTGATGTTATTAGCCATTAAACCTCAAAAATACACTTTTCCCAAAAGATTTCTACAATTTTGGCCACTACTGTTAAGTGCTATTGCTATTGCTATCAGGCATGGTTCTCCAATATCACTGGCAGAGATTTTCATTTTCACTTGCTATCGTATCATTTTAGCTAAAGATGCCACTGATCCAATGAAGACTTTCCCTTATGCAAAACATGCGGGTAGTTGGTTTTCCCAATCCTAGAAATTTTCCATCTTTAAGAAAAATGACTTGAAGCAAATGGAAACTATCTCATCTAGTAAAGTAGCTTTCCCAAAGCTGGTAAGTGTTGTAAGCGTTAAAGACCAGCATATGGGATTTGTATTTCAATATATGCGAGGAACACCAGATGGGAGAGAGCTGAATTCCTAGACTGTGAGATTTAAAGGAGGGTGCATTAATCAAGGACGTGGTTTATATTAACATTTTTTCTAAATATAACTGCTTTCCTCTCCCCCCCCCCTTTCTCTTCACAGAATTGAAACACTTGGCCAACCAGACAGGAAAGATAGTATTGGAGTTTGTGTTGAGCAGCTCAAAGGCTATGATTCTTTGCAACGGGATAAAGCTGTGTGCATTAGTACCAATGGTGAGTTTCAAATAGACCTAAATTGGCCCACCTTCTGACCTGCAATCTCTACCATATCCTAACGTTCTGTCATTTTAAGACCTACTGTATATGGAACAACTGTATTATGATGTGGAGGAATCCAAAACAGGTGATGGAAAATAATAAGTTGTCAGTGAAGGTATGCAAAAAAAAAAAAAAAAAAGCAGTGCCTTGGGAAACAGGCATGTCAATATTCTTGGGAGTTGTTCTATGCTTTGATGTTGTCCAGCCACCGTGTTCCTTGAAGGCCTGGTTTCCTTTTACATCATCATCATACACTCTCCTTTTTCATTTAATTTTATTATAAATACATGAAGATCAGTAAGTCCTATTATCTCATTAAGCTTCTGTATGGAGAATGTAGCCCTTGACCCCAAACACCTGGGCAACCGTTTATAATGGTATTTTTAAGATTTGCCCTACCACTTGTAAATAACTGAGAACTGAGAAAATAAATTTCTCTCTTTTCTTGCTGCCAGTGTGGTAAACGGATGTCATTGATGTACATGTGGGACACTATGTGCAATGTGGGCGTCCTAACTATTTTTGGGGCAGTGGGCGCTGTTACGAAATGGTCTTTCTTGGGAGATTTAACCATTAATAACTGTACGGGCTAAGAGACCAAGAAATGAGAATGTTCTGCTTCTCTGTCCAGTTCTCTGGGATGATTTCCACCATTCACTTTTGATTTGGGGGGTTGGATATGACAGTGAACAGATGTGTTTGGGAATAATGAAGTTGGGATAGGACCTTTGTTTGGCGAGCAAGCCAACTTTCTGTCTTCAGTGGCGAGAGTATAATTTAACAAGGTGTCCATGAAGTGTGTTGCAGGTCATTACGGAAGATGAATTCAGAAAGCTTGATTTCCATGGGAAATTGAAAAAAATGTGTTATGTGACTGGGTAGGCTCATCAGCATTTCTTCTCTGTTGCAGGAGCTGTTTTTGTCAATGGAAAGGAGATGACCAACCAATTGCCTGCGGTGACCTCAGGGTCAGCTGTAACCTTCGACATGGAAACTGTGAATTTAGGCCCTTGCAATAATAATGGGGGGAACTTCAAACTCAGAGTGACAATTAGTTCCAACAACAGGGAAGTGGTCTTTGACTGGGTACTTGATCAATGCTGTGGCTCTCTGTATTTTGGATGCTCCTTCTCCTATCCCGGCTGGAAAGTTTTGGTGTTCTAAGTGTTAGACTGAGAAGCAGTAGTTGTCTTTTGGTTGCGTCATTCAAAGGGTTCGGACTGCAATGACACAATTATTTGCCCATCCAGGCTGTTAAATCTGTGTGTCTTTGGTATACTGCTGTTGGCTCAGACAAGAGTAAGCTGCTTAATGCCATTTTTCTGTGAGATGAACATTACTTGAACTCTGTCTTCTCTACTGGATTCACCTGAAATATTGGCGAAATGCTGAGTAACCTGGAAAATTTATGTAAGCTGTTGCGTTTGCTACTCAACATCATGCATTTTGAGTATTATTTTTTTTAGAACACCTCTCTCCATTTGGATGCTCTCCAGAGGTGCTGGACAGGATTCTCCACAATCCCTAGTCAAAGGGGGAAGATACGAGTTGTAGTCCACCTCTGGAGACCACCAAGAGAGAGTGTGGTTTTGAAAGAAAAAGGTAGAGATGATTCTGTTACTGTGGTCCTGCTATCAATGCTTGGTCATACTTATTACGTTTGCCTAGTGTTATTCTTTGGCTCAGGGTTAATGGACCAAAACTGTATGTATGTTTTCCTATTCATCAGAGTTCGGTACTGAAGTGATGCACCTCAACCTACTCCTGCCGAAAGCTTTTTGTCCACTGGGCAATAAGACCTTTTGGGCCTCTACATTATCCTTTTCCTTCAGTGCCTTGCCATTGACGGCAGAAGAAATCTGAGCTGAAACGTTAGCTTTGGCAAGCCATACCTATGTGCCTTCGTTGGATGCTTCTGTTGAACAATATTTCACTTGTGAAAGAGAAAATTTTGTTCCTGGCATTTGTCGCTTTAAGCGACATTTTTCCGCCCCTCTGTGCTCATTGCAGTGCCTTCTACAGTTTGTGCCTTTTTCAAGATGATATCATACAGTCCGAGGAAATATTTAGGGCGCAAATGTTTTAGACCTTTCCTGAACACTTGTACGGAGTCTAGAGTTTTGTGTAGCAGGTAAATTATGTTCCTCACACCCGTCTTTACCTAGACTTGCTTTTAGATAATTTTATAGAAAGTGGGGTGGGGTCAGACCAGCAGGGTATGCAAGTGAGCTTGCAAATAAGGAGGTACCGTATAAAAAATAATGCATAATAGAGGTCTCTTAGCATGCATTTTAAAATTTGGTTGATGTAACCAAGTTAACAGATGAGCCAGGTACTAACTTTAAGTAGAGAGTAACAGCTAATGCATTTTTGCTCAACCTCTGCAGTTAATTACCATTTTGCTGTTTTAATTTGGGCAAGTGAAATCCCTCTTTGGGGGATCTCCTTTGTACGATTAAATTGCCTGCATGCCCATCTCCCAAAATGGGGGACCCAGTCTTGGCCGCTGTTTCCTTGCAATAGCGGTATCCTGTTAAGTAAGATCTGCAGCCGGTTTCTTTCTTAAACTTTTAAGTCTTCGATCCCAGGCCCGGAGGCTTTAGCTGCAGTCCTTAGCTGCCCTACCCCGTCTGACAAGTAAGCAAAGACAGGAGCTGCTGATAAAAAGAGCAAAATTCCTCCCTTCCCTTCTTATACGGTAGGATTGCCAGCTATGAGTACTCTGATTTCAGCCTTAAGTAAAAGTTGTCACCAGTTATTAATGTCTGGTCAATTGGGAGTAGGTCTTTTGGTTCAGGAATATATAACTCAGCCTTATCTTGTGGCCTATTGCAATCTGATGTTTTCTAGATATATTTCACTTCCTTTCCTGTTGCTTATCAGAATTATGGGGTTGAAGTTCCAATATATCTGGAGGCAAGATTTTGGGGAAGGCTAACTGAATACTCTGTGGAGCAGAATCTAAATAAAAATGGTTAGTTTCCCCCCCACTCCACCCCGATCTCAAGATATCCTGTAAGAAGCTGAAATTTAAGGATTATAGAATCCTACCTCTGCCCCTCCCCAGTTTAAAATCAAGCCATGCCAAAACTCTTCTACTCATATAAATCACCACATTGTCTTATGTGTTCATATGAATATAAGAAAGGATATTAATGCATTAACATTCTTCTCTTAAGAATGTCAAATGCAAACCAGATCATCCATATACTTTTTATCTCTCATTATTGATTTCTATGAAAATGTATTTGAGCATAAAACAAAACTGGTACCAAAAAAAACCAAAAAAAAAACCAATGAGATACTTTAGTTCACCTTTAGCTTTGTATGTTCATTATATAATGGTAGGTTGGAGGTTCCCGCTTTTTAGAATGTTACACATAAATCGGGATTTGCGAAGGTATTCGGACGTGCTGTTTCCTCTTCTTGAAGGATTGCCAGAGAACATTTGCAATTTCATATATACCATACAAAATGCCTTTGCTATGTAAAATAAGTAACTTTTTTTACATCTGGTGACAGATGGAATGGAGGACATAATCCAAATATTCAACTGTTAGAAGACCAAAAATATAAAGCAACATTTAAAACAGCCAGATGCTATCCAGATATCAGGGTTGTAGTTCTTATCCTTCCGTTGGAATAGAGTAAGATCTTCATTTTTTAATATACCACAGACTTCTATCTTGTGTGAGGAAGGCATGTAGATGCTGAGCTAATAAGGAATTTTCTGAATTTCTTAAATTTTTGTAAAAGCTTTTTTGCTATAGCAATAGAAATTTGTTTCCCCAGCAAAGGATGACTTTCTGCAGCTGGGGATGGGAGACAAAGAGGAAACAGAGATTTTATCTCTTGAGAGGGTAAATTCGGGTTTTTTTTTAAAAAAAGAATAGCTATGAAACAGGAAGGCTATTCAAAAGCTTACCTTGAACCTATTTATGAGCAGCAAAAATGTTCAAAAGAAATTGAATCAGTATTTTAGAGCCATAAGAATTCTGAAAAATTGGATTCTTTGTTCAGACAGTATTCATATGAGATGGCAGTTCTTGGAGGCAAAGTTAGCATGGAATTATGTTTTGTATGCACTTGTATGTATTTACCTCAAGATACTTTGTATCATGACTTTTTAATAAAGGTTTGACTTTATTGTACCCTATCCAGTTGTGGTGAAATCTTTTCTCTTGCCTATGGAAGTTCTCATTCATCCGGATCATGGTTGTCCCAAAGATGCTTTTATTTTAAAAGCAACTGGACTTTCTGCCTTTAAAATAAAAACACCTTTGGGTCTTGTCTCTGTTGAACTTGAGAGATATATCGGGAAGAAGGCAAGCAGAAGATAAACAGTTGCTTAAAATTATGCTGTAGGAAGCTGAGGGATGTGTTTTTTTTTTTTTTTTTGCAGGAAAATTTGGCTCTAAAGTAATTTTATGAGCAAAGAACTATTATTTTCAGAAGCCTACATTCCTTCAGAAAAGGTGATGGTGTCATTGTACTCATATCCAGGAATTTTCAAGTAGTTGTACATGTGTTCGGAGGCGGACTCAAAAGTAATAAGATGCGCCACAGAGTAAATCAGTGATGTTTTAAATATTTTTGGTAATTAGTAAATACAGCAACAGAAAAAAATAAGCCTCTTATTTTTGTTGTGGTAGGGGCCAAATTCTTTGAAAGTGTATGGTGAAACTTCAGGTACAGAAAATTAGGAGCCATTGTTCAAAATCATTAATTTTGCTTTCAGATAATGGACAACAGCGGCTAGGTTGACATCCGCCATCCTACTAAAAGTTTTAAAATAAAGAGATTTAAATAATCAGAATTATTTACGTATTTAATTCAAAGTCTGAATACTGAAGAGGTTACCTTTGGGAAATAACTTAGTTTTGAAAATGTTCATTCCCTTTAGTACCAAAGTAAGATACCAGGGTAGCAATATACAGAATAAGCCTTGAGGCCTTAGCAGTTTTATTCTCCAGAAGCTTTGGGCTGGCCATTGCATCAGCTCATAATGGAACATAAGAATTTAGTAAATGTATGAACAGAGGTATACGTATGTCTGCCAATGTATATCTAACAGAAAAATTGTTCTTAGAAACAGCTGATCATCCCTCCTTAAATTAGGTGGCGCCATGGTTCAGTGGTTACAATGGTGAGCTTGTTGATTAGAAAGCTGGCAGGTCAGGTTCGAGACACAAGCATCATTTGACAGGGTGAGCTCCTGTTCTCATTCCAGTTCCTGCCAACCTACAGTAATGGCCAAATTTTGGAAACCTTTTGGGAAAAGTGTACAATAAAAATGCCACCTTTGGTTAAGTTTCCACTATTTTTTCTTCTAATTTCTTTATAACTGTAGCCTTGTTCACTTAATAATATTATTTTACATCGCTTTCTCGGCAACCAGTCAACTATTTGTACCATTACTTTAATTTTATTACGTTTTACAAGCTCACTAAATGAAAGAATACAAAAAAATTCAACCAACTTGATAGCGATCACATAACACACTGACAAATGTCCTCCTCTCAGCTTCGATACATGACATCAGTAACCGAATCCTAGTGTGATCTGACTGGCTCATTGCCAAAACAAGATGACACCTGATTGGCTCTCTAAACACTCATGCTCATTGGCTACCATCAGATGAAGGAAAGCGACCCAATATCAACTTAAGCAAATTGTGCTTCCTTTTTCTGATGGCAATGGCATGTTGGTGTTAGGATTTCATTGAGAATAATTTGTTCTCTTTTTTTTAACCAAGAAATGTAATATTTTGCCTCCTTTGGACAGGAGTTTTTTGCTACTGAATTTTGACTATGGTTTTACGGCTACAGGTCAGCCACCATCACATTAAGATCACCTGATTTTCAGCTTTCTCTCAGTGGACAAGATTGTGAAGAAAGGAGTTGGTTGACAGCTGCAGAGAAAACTGGAGGATCCGTATCTGTCAAAATTCAGGTTTGGTTTGGTCACTCCAGAACTGTAGGTGATCTGTGGCAGGCCCAGGAGGTGAATACTAGAGGTGAATAATAGAGCCGAGGTGGCGCAGCAGTTAGAGTGTAGTACTGCAGGCCACTTTAGCTGACTGTGTTCAGCAGGTCAGCGGTTCAAATCTCACCGGCTCAAGGTTGTCTCAGCCTTCCATCCTTCCGGGGTAGGTAAAATGAGGACCCAGATTGTTGGGGGCAATGTAATATATATATATATATATATATATAATATATATATATATATATAATATATATATATATATATATATATATTGCTTACTGGTGTACACCGCTTAGAGAGTGCTTGCACTTAAAGCGGTATATAAGTCTCATAAATAAATAAATAAATAAATAAAATACTGGTCCTAGTGGACCTTTTGGCACATCTTGACTTGAATAGCTCTGAGGTCTGAGAGTGGAGCAGGGTTTTATAATCCCTCTTCAGGGGTGAGGTGAAGGAGGGAGAAAAGATGAGTTTGTGAGAGCCATGTTGCAGAATTTAATAGAGTCGGTGCATTCCCTTTGCTACTTAATGTCTATGTCAGGGGTAGGCAACCTTGGCTCTTTTATGACTCATGGACTTCAACTCCTAGAATTCCTGAGCCAGCATGACTCAGCTTGGAAACCTCTCCCTTTCCCCTCAGCATGGCTGGCTCAGGAATTCTGGGAGTTGAAGTCCACAAGTCATAAAAGAGCCAAGGTTGCCTACCTCGGTCTAGGTGAAACTTAAGTAACGTGAGCTGAAGTAATACCAATATTCAGATGATACTCAATTACAGTAGGTATTTCTGCTTCTGGCCAAGCACGTGAGGCACTGAAAGTCCTAGCAACATGGAGTAGCTGTGGATTCTAAAGCCTTTCTGAATCTGGAAATATTATTCTTTAACTCTAGATGGGGGAGCATGCTCCCCCATATGAAGTTGGTTCATAACTGGAGGATTCTCCTGGACTCACAATTCCTGCTAGTACAGCAGATGGAGCAGTGGCCAAGAAGGCCTTAGCATGATTGTCTATGGAGATTCTCCAGAAGATAGGCTTAAGATACAGGAAGATCTTGACAGACTTGAATATTGGGTGCTATCTAACAATGAAATTCAATGGTGAAAAAGTAATGTTCTACATTTAGGCAAGAAAAAACAAATGCAGGCAGTGGTGGCGAACCTATGGCACGGGTGCCAGAGGTGGCACTCAGAGCCCTCTTTGTGGGCACACGTGCTGTTGTCCCAGCCTTGCCTTCCCCCACGACCCCCTCCTCTCCAGCAGCCCCCCCGAAGGAGAGTCGCCCTCAAGGGTGACCTACACAGAGCAGCGCAACCAAGGACATGGCAGCCAGGCAGCGTACACAAGACTCTGTCCTCACACCCCATCATGCAGTTGATGCTGCAGGGCATGGGCAAAGGCTGTGGCCGCCGTAGCGCTGCCTGGGCAATCTGCGGTGGGCCCTGGAGGCGGAGAGTGGTCCTGTGGGCAGGCGGGGCAGGGGATGGGGGGGCAGAGCGGGGGTGAGCAGGGGGTGGAGCAGGGGTGGGGCCGTTTTTTTGGGTACTCTGTCTCTAAAAGGTTCACCATCACTGGTATAGGGGGTACCTCACTCAATAGTACCAACTGTGAGAGGGATCTTGGAGTCCTAGTGGATAATCACTTAAATATGAGCCAGCAGTGTGCTGCAGCTGCCAAAAAAGTCAACAGTGCTAGGCTGTATTAACAGAGGGATAGAATCGAGATCACGTGAAGTGTTAATACCACTTTATAAAACCTTGGTAAGGCCACACTTGGAATACTGCATCCACTTTTCATCAGTACTATTCTAAATCAGGAAAGTTTGTATGATGTGAAAGATAGTGCCCATGGAGGGGGGAATGATGGGCTACAGTGATGTGGCAGTTTCCTAGAAAGGAGACACATTGCAGGAAGAGGATGAGACAAGAGGTAGCCCAGCAGAGCTGGATAGGGGACAGAGAGAAAGGACAGCCACTCCCTAGAATCTCCCAGGGTATATCAGGCTGAGAATAATAAGGGTTTATTCTAGCAAGTTTCTATTAAGTGCAAATAAAGAACTGAACTCTGGCTGAATTGTTCCACATCATTTTTGAGCTTAGCCTGACATATAGGGCATTGTCTCTGTTACCTTGTGGTTTGACTACAATAATCTGCTCTGTAAGATCTGTTGTTAAAAACCCTGCCACGGAAGGGATTGTTCCTGTAATCTGAGTCTCGTTTCTCAGATGCTCACAAAATTAACCATGATACATATTGGTTGGGTCACTCAGCCTTCCATATAAATACAGTATATTAAAAAAAAACAAGAGGAAACTGCAAGATTTGAAGACTGGAAGAAATGGTTGCCTTGGTTTTTAAGCTTGGAAGTTAAGTAGGGTAAGATGGGTATGTCTAGTTCAGGGGTAGGCAACCCAAAACACTCAAAGAGCCACTTGGACCCATTTCCCACCAAAAACAAAACACCGGGAGCCACAAAACCCTGTTGATATCTAAAATGAAGATAACACTGCATATATCCTTTTTTACCTGTATTATAGGTGTGTGTGTGTGTGTGTGTGTGTGTGTATACGTATATATGTATGTAGGTCTTGGAAAACCTCAGAAAACAAGTATATATGTATATATATATATATATATATATATATATATATATGTGTGTGTGTGTGTGTGTGTATACACACACACACACACAGGTAAAAAAAGGATATATGCAGTGTTATCTTCATTTTAGATGTCAAAAGGGTCTCTCTCTCTGTCTCTCTCTCTCCCTCCCTCTCTATCTGCCCTTGGTCTGCCACTCCTCTTCCCCGCTCTCCTTCTTTCTCTCTCTCTTTCCTCTCTCTCTCTCTCCCTCCCTCCCTCCCTCTCTCTCTCTCTCTTTCTCTCCCCCCCCCTCTCCTATCTGCTGCTCACCTGCTGCTTCAAAGTGTTGTCCAACCAGCTCAGGGGTAGGCAATCTCGTCTCTTTTATGACTCATGGACTTCAACTCCCAGAATTCCTGAGTCAGCCTAGCTGGGCTAGCTAGCTCTCTCCTGCCCTTCCTGCTTCCTGCTTCCTGCAGAGATGCAGCAAAGGGAGGAGCTCCGCCCAGTAAGCTTTCCAGCTCCTCGGAGAATACTGTGAGTGCATTCTCTTTTACACATACACACAGACACAGACACAGACACACACACACACACACACACACACACACACACAGAGAGAGAGAGAGAAGCAGGGAAGCACAATTGCCTCTCTCTGTCTCTCTGCAAAGGCAGAGGAGGCTGGGAGCCACGGGGGAAGGCTCAAAGAGCCGCATGCGGCTCCGGAGCCGCAGGTTGCCGACCTGTGGTCTAGTTTAACGAAGAGAAGGACAAGGGGGGACATGATAGCAGTATTCCAATATCTCAGGGGCTGCCATAAAGAAGAGGGAATTAAGCTATTTTCCAAAGCACCTGACGGCAGGACAAGAAGCAACGGGTGGAAACTCATCAAGGAGAGAAGCAACCTAGAACTAAGGAGAAACTTCCTGACAGTGAGAACAATTAATCAGTGGAACAGCCTGCCTCCAGAAGCAGTAAATGCTCCAACACTGGAATTTTTTAAGAAGAGACTGGACAGCCACTTGTCCGAAATGGTGTAGGGTTTCCTGCCCGAGCAGGGGGTTGGACTAGATGACCTCCAAGGTCCCTTCCAACTTTACTAATATGAATAAGATGAAAACTTCACTTTTTTGCGCCAGGTGGTAGCACATTATTATCTCTTGGGTGTGATGTGTAATGGTCAAATGAAACACAACTAAAGATCAAAAATCATCTAATACCTGTGAGCAGATATGACTGCAATTGATTTTCAGCATGAACAACTTAAAGAAACAGGCAGTTAAGCCAGAGAAGGAAGAAGCCTGAACAATTGAGCAGGCCACAAATTGGGAGGTTTTGAAGCAATTACATTTTATGCCTTGAATTCAGCGCGACAATAGCAACTGAAATAAAGTGTGTTTGCTGAATTCCCATTAGAAAAAAAAATGCAAAACAGGTGGTCCTTGACTTAAAACCATTTGAACAACTGTTCAAAAGTGACAATGTTGCTGAAAAAAGTGATTTGTGTCCAGTCCTCGCACTTGCAGTGTCCCCCGTCACCCAATCAAAATTTGGGCGCTTGTCAACCAGTGTACATAGATACAACGGTTGCAGTGACCCAGTCCCATTTGAACCTTCCCAGGGACTCCTGACAAGCAGTCAGTGGGGGAAATTGGATTCACTTAATGATCATGGCAAAAAAAAATGTCAAAAAATCAGTGTGATTCTATGACTGCATTGCCTAGCAAGGGAAGTTTGGCTCCCAATTGTGCTGTAAGTTGAAGATTACCTATCACTTTGATTTCAGAAAGGTTACACTTATGGCCCTGGGTGAATTCAATTCACGTAGATCAGAGCCGTATTGTCAGGCCCCAAAACTCCTCGTCTTCTATTCTTTAGGGGCCTGCCATTCTTGTTGGGGGAGGGGTTGCAGGGGGGATTCTTAGTGTTAACTTTCACTTTATGACTTTGGTGGGAGGGGCCATATTGCTTGCTTTAATTATATCATTCACACGGGCTTTTCTTCAGATCTTGCCTTACGTTCCCTGCTATCATTCATCCCTAATAAAAGTTTCTTTTTGAGACAATGTCTGTTTCAAGAGTTCTGCTTTCTTGGGTGACTAGTTGAAATGCATCCTGACACGTATATTTCAATGTTTTTACTATCTTAATTTCCCAAAATATTCCTACTTGATGTTAATATTTGAAAAATAATTTTGCTTGTGTATTTCAATGACTGGCAGATCGGAAAAGAAAAAAGTTTGTTGCCAATCTGAACATTGACCATTTCTGGTCCCTTCATGGACAATCGTGGCATCAGACTTTATTTCTAGAATACTAGGGGTATGTTTTATCTAGATTACATTTGCTTATGATTGCAAGTCTTGAAAAAAGCAAATATATATATATATATATATATATATTTTTTAAAAATATTCTAAATGCAGGCAAAAAAAAAATCATCCATTTCAGGCCCTATCACAGCTCATAATTAGTCCAAATGCAAATATTTCTCCCCCCCCCCAACAAAATTTGTCTGGTTCTGAATCCATCTTGGCATATATATGAAAAGATTCAACATGACACCTTATCAGATTTTACATTATTGAACTTTATGTACAAAATTCAAATAAACATTTAATGTAAAAACAAAAAGGTTCATTAAACAATTGTCTTTATCTACTGTACCATTCAAATGTTCATCCAGTTTACATGATTTCTTCAAAGTCTCATTAAGAGTACATATAGAAAATCCATCTTTATTATAAATAGAAACAAAGGGATTCTCAGCTTTTATTATAAATGGACATGACATAGAAAGTTTACTTGACAGAAGTAATTTGATTACTATTTTTGGGGGTCATCAACTTTTTGTGCAAAGAATGCTAGCCTCCTTTTAAGCATTGAGAGCGCGACTGCTTAAGTGACATAAGCAATAACTCTACATCTATGTCTCTCCTAAAATATTTCTTTACATATGTGCACAGCTTTAGCAAATTAAAGCCCAAGAGAAATGCTTGCCGGCTATTCAAAGGTGTAATTAGAGTTTACTACAACTCAGAGCAGACAAAAGTCACCTAATGAAAACGGTAGTCTCCCTCTTTGCTATTGACACAAATCTGTGACTAAGAACTTAATACTGGATGACAAATCACATCCACACCATTAGTTAAATAGTCTCACAGTTAAACACACCTTTAAGGGACCAAAGTCAGTATTTACAGTTTTTATAAAGTTTTGAAAATCTCCATTAGGAAGCTTCTTCCCCACCCATTCCATAGCAAAAATCCAAAATGGGGAACTGCCTACTTACGATGATGGAATGAAATAAAAACAAATGTAAATTGTATATACATAACTGATCCTTTATAAATAAGGAGTATGAAAAATGAATTATTTTAAGATTTTTTTAAAAAAAGAACGAGGTGATGTTACTCAACCATAGTGCTTGCTGGAACAAACCCTTGGTGCTGATACTGTACCAGTAGTGAAGCTACTTTCCATTGGAAAAAAAGAAAATCTGTAAACATATGCTTTAATGTGTTAAGAGCAGTGCAAGACTGCACCAGACTTTTAATTAGCATCTGTATTGAATGCAATACATCACAGAATACTTGCAAAAGAAGTGCAACACATTTTCTGGACCAATTTTACAGTGTATTTTCCCCCTTAAAAGTAGCATCTAAAAGTCCCAGGTTACCTGTGCTTTGATTCTGCAGTCTGTATACATGCAAATGTAGGCCGAAATGCCCACCATAACCTGAAGGTGTTAAAGCAGCATATCATCATCTTCATCCACCCTAAACAGTCTGATCTCATATACCAGATGATATCAACAAATTCTTTTAGGCTACTGGCACAATTAATATAGTATATCCCTGTGTTTGAGATAGATAAAGCAATTTCCCCCCTAAATGGACATTATAGAAGTGCAATATTACACTTGAATGTTTAAAAATGTATTTAAAAACTGCGGTCTTCTAATTTGATAGAATAAAAATATAGGATCAAATTAAGCTTTAAATGATACATTATTTTCTACAAAAAAGAAACAGAATTTTAAAGTACAAATTATAAACTGTTCCGATCGCTTCTCATTTTCAACTCCATGGTAGGAAAGTCAGCCATTACCGATGCAAAAATTTTTATATAAAAACTGGTTTACATATACTCAAGTTATGTAAATTCAGTACATTTCATAATTAAAATTTCCAAAAATTGTATTGCTCTTCATGCTCAAACTTTGAGTATTGTCATTACACCACTAGAACCGATATACATGTTGCACTTGTGTAATTATTTCAGTAGGAACCATATCAACACTATCTGTGATGAAATCCTTTGTTTCCAGCAGTGCCTGTTAAAAATCTGTATATCTTATTAAATTCCTTATAGAGTTCATGCATCTTAGAATATCACTTCATGTTTTTGTCAGCTGGTCTTTTCAGATCTTCTGTTTTCTATTCTGTTTTGTCATACAAGATGTATTATCTATTTCTGAAGACCGTTCCCTAGAATTAGCATCGCCATAGCCATTAGTTGCACCCATCTGTTCTTCTGTAAACTCCTCAGGTGCTGTGGCTGTAATGGGCTCTCCTTTTTCTAATTTCTGTTGCATTTCTCGGAGTTTAGTAACAGCTTTGTCTATTGACATAATGCTTATAAGATTAAAGTCGTGCATGCTGACTAGATGAAGCATAAAATTCCGACACAAATTCTTCTTAATAATTTTGTGTCCATAATTTTCTACAAACAGCATACAGGCATGATTCATTTGATTGTCAGCAATAAACCTGTTAACATTAAAACACGAGACAAATTATTACTACTTAGTTGTCACCCCTGAAAAAAAACAGATTTCTTGGAATTCTCAAAAGATGCAAGTTTAAAAGAATCCTGTTTAGAAATACCATTCTTGCCCATATTTCCAACTGAACTTTTTAAAATTCTTATTTTAAAATTAAAATAAGGACAGCAAAATATTTAATATTTTTTGAAAATTTGAATAATTTTTCATCCATATTTCTGTTCTCATCTATTTTAGATTAAAAATAGATTACATACCCATGTTTCATAACATGTAGATTCCATAATTTCATGACTTCTTTTTCTCCTTCATTAACATCAGAAAACTCTTCAATTTGCTGCAGTGAGACAACCATTGAAAGTTAGTTAAAGCAAAGGAAATATCAATAATTATAAGGATGCCACTTGGTTGGATCGGCAGTATTGGGGTCTAAGTACTAAGAACTCTAGCATCTCTGGAAACCATTACACCAGGAAGTTATAGAATGTAATATCTAATTAAAAAGACCCTTTTCCTTATGCTAAATTGACTTTATGGGGAAACCCAACTTTAAAAATTGGGGGAAAAGATGTAATATAGAAAAATTGGATGGAAGTGGAGATATTTTGACTTTGGACCAATTGACAGATGATAAAGGTGAATTTTTAATCTATGCTATGTTAAGAGATAAATAACATCTATTAGATGTAACCCAACAGTAATATTTATAGTTACAACATTTGTTAACAACTCTATTTGGAGTAGCAGCATTTTCAACTTCTGGGATACAAGAACCAACAATTAAATCCTTTAAAATAAAATAAAAACAAAAAACTACTATTGGGTTTTTATAACTATTTGTTATCAATAAATCAGTGAGAGATGCAGATGCTAAAAAACAAGTGGAATAGAGAATTGGTGGGTTCCTATATTGCCTAGAGCAGGGCTTTTCAACCTTTTTTTTTTTTTTACTTAATTTTTTTTAAATTTTTTTATTTTTCCAAACTCTCCCCCTTACATATACCGTGATATTTATCAGATGTTAACATACATTCTTTTTACATTCTTATATATAAGATACTTTTAATAAAATGAAATACATACACATGACTTTTGATGCTGCTCGCCCATTTCCCCTTTCACTGTATCCACACTCCTTCTTCTCTACCTTCTTTCTCCCTTCTTCCCTACTTCCCTCTTCTTCCTCTCCTCTTCTCTTTCGTTCACCTCTCTCCTCCCCTTTCTCCCCACTTCTCTTCTCCTACAACCTTCCTACTTCCTTCCCCCCTCCTTTACTCTTTTCTCTCTCCACTCCTTTCTTCTCTCTCATCCCTCTTCAGATACAATTCGGGGGTAATGTCTGAGCAACTCCTCTCTCCAAATTTCTCTATCTGTATTATATACAATAAGATTAATTTTCTTTTACATTAATACTTCTATTTATCTAACCTTCTCGGTATATACTTCTATAAATATTTATACAACCTCCAGTTATTCAATACTGTGTCGCCTGGGTCTCCCTCCTTATCTGTTCCTTCTTCTTCCATCTAAATTGATGTTAACTATCTTTTAACCATAATCTCTTTTCAGCCAATCATAAAAAGTTCCTCAGATTTCATAGTACTCTGACTCTGTCTTATCTTTAATCGTCATTGTTAGTCTATTCATTTCTGCACATTCCAGTATTTTCCCAATCACTTCTCCTTCTGGGGGGGCTTTCAGTGCTTTCCAATTTTGTGCAAACACAATCCTGGCTGCTGTAATTATATGAATAATTAAATGTTTTCTCTTTATTGTATTTCCCTGGTAGAATACCCAACAGGAATATTTCTGGTCTTAGTTCTATACGTTGTTGTATCATCTTTTCTATCCATGTTCTAATTATATTCCAATAAGTTTTAGCTTCTACACACGTCCACCACATATGGTAGAAGGAACCTGATATCTGATGACATTTCCAACATTTCATAGACCTGTCCTTAAACATTTTAGCTAATCTTTCTAGAGACATGTTCCATCTGTAAAACATTTTGTACATATTTTCTTTATACGCAGTCGCCATTGTCAATTTATAATTTCTTTCCCATAGTTGCTGCCATGTATCTAATTCAATTGTGTATCCAAAATTCCTTGTCCATTTTATCATTGTCTCTTTCACTTGTTCCTCCTCTAACTCCATATGTAGTAGATAACTATACATTTTTTTAATCCATTTTCTTCCGTTCCTGTGAGTATTTCATCTAACTTTGTTGTCCCCAAATTAACACCATCTATTTTAACATCTTTTTCATATCTACATTGTATTTGCGTTCTCATGTACCAATCCATCTTTATTCCTTGTTTCTCTAATTGTTGGGCTTTTCAACCTTTTTACTGATTGTACCAGTTTTAGGATATGGCAATATTCGAGTACCACCTAGCAAGGTGTCAAAAACTTGATGACCAAAAAAAAAAAAAAAAAAAAAAACCCCTAACCTGTTCAAAGTTGCAATTGCACTGAAATGACTTATGACCATTGCAGCATGCCCAGGGGTCATGTGATTTATATTTGTATGCTTGGCAACTGATTCATATTTATAATGGTCACAGTGTTCCAGGGTCATGTGATCCCCTTTTGCAACCTTTTGACAAGCAAAGTCAATGGCAGGGCTGCTGGTGGCCAAGTGCTAAGGCGGGACTTCCTTTCCTCCCTCCCTTCCCTGCCTCCCTTTTTCTCATTCCCATCTCCTTCTGAAGGAGGAATTTGACACCCCCCCCCATATTTTCTCTCTTCCATATATTGATCAAACAAGGAAAGGCCTCCAGAGACAGAAAAGACAAACTGCTGAGTGAACTAGCTTAAAAAGGCACATTCCCCTTTAAGAATTAGCTACTGGCTAGAAAGGAAACTAAGGAGCACAGCCAGCACTTAAGGAAGAAAAAAAAAATGTAACTACTGGCTGCTGGCTAAGGCAACTTCCCCAAATGGCTCCATTCATAAGTAAAGGAATGCTACAGGCAAAATCCATTCAGGAGAAAAATACTTCAAAATCCCTTGCAGCAAAACTTACAGCTAACAACAGCAGAGCAATAGAAGCTAATAGAGACATCAGCCATCAGCCAAATAGAAATTGCCAAACACTCCTGAAGAACACAAAGCCCTCATTGCACAAATCCCAGAACTTCAAAGTCACAAAAGCACATAAGAATCCTTCTACTCTCTATCTCCTTCCCTCCTCTGTGCCTCACCTCCAGCCATTGCTGCCTTTTTTCATTCCTCTTGGAGGGCAACTCCTCCCCTACTGCATTTCTTGCCTGTTTGCTGCTGCCAGCACAGGTGGCTGCGGCCACAGCAGTTGTAGATCGGCTCATGGCCAGCCTGCTTGATCTCCTCTCCCCCCACCCTCCCCCTCCTTCTTCCCCTTTGGTGCAGCTGACTCTGCCTCCTCCCAAGGCTACTGCTTTTTCTCTCTCCCTCTCCTGCCCAAACTGCCTCCTTTTATAGCAGTGGTTCTCAACCTGTGGGTCGGGACCCCATTTGGGGTCGAACGACCATTTCACGGGGGTCGCCAAACTATTGGCTTTTGAAAGCCAATAGAATAGACTCTCTTGAATGGAGTCTAATTCTTTTGGCTTTCAAAAGCCAATAGGAATTGTCCAGGCTGTCTCTGCCCTGCTGAGTCCGCCAAAAGTCCCATTCTGCAAACGGTGCTGCACCAGTTGAGTAGTCCTCGACTTACGACCGGTTGGGGAGGTCACGGCATTAAAAAAGTTGAGAACCACTGTTTTATAGGTTCTCCTGTCTCTGCCCCCCTGCTTTCTCATGGGGGAGGGTGAGCCAGAAGTGAGCCTAAGGCCTTTGCAGCTCCAGAGGACTCTCTCACTGCAAGTCCTTGCCTGTGCTGGCTCTTTCCCTCCATTACACTTGGTTAGGCAGGGCTGCGTACCACCTGCCACTCATTAATGTACCACAAGAGGCCCTAGATAAATGAAGGAATGTCTTAACTTCTATAGCAAGAATGTCAATGGATCTCAAATTATGACTTATTCCAGCAGTCCCCAACCTTTTGGGCACCCGGGATCGGTTCCATGTGCTGCCTGCATCCCCAGATGGAGCTTCGCTTGTATGCACGGTCCAGATTCTAGCAGTCCCTGGACCAGGGGTTGAGGACCCCTGACTTATGCAACAAAAAATATTTAGAATTTATTGGATTCCCATTATGTTTATACATAAAAGGATGGCCTAAGACAGCATTTTGTTGGATATGTAATAAATGCTTCTTTAAAATACATGCTTTTACAGTGTCCTACACATAACATGTTTTGGGACTACATAAACATGATGGTGCGACATATGCAAAATTTCAAAGGATAACATTCTCTTGAAATATACACCTAGATCAAATTTGACAATTGGACAATATAAACAAACTCTCTGGGCCCTTACTATGCCAAAAAACAACAACCCTGATATTGCAATATTGGAAAAATAAAAGTATGGCCCCTTTTACTCAATGTATCGAACACCTGACTATATTTGCCATCTATGAGCCCCTAGTTGTAAAATATGGAAATCTTATGACCAGCATCCAACCTAAACATGAGATTCTCTTCCCTGCATTATATCTTTTTCTTTCCATAGTAATTAAATTCATATAGAACATTTCAGAATCTGACCAACAATATTTTCCTGTTTTGTACATAATCCAGCTCCTTGCTATTTACATCAGCAATTGTACCAATTCCATCTACTAATAATATTAGCAGATTAAGAGAAAGTATCACAGTCTACCCCAAAGTTACCGTTATAGTTTTCTCCCGTAGCCATTCAGGATCTTTTTCATCTTCACTATCAACTTCCATTTCTTGAGGGCGTAGAGGTAGACAAGTATCACTGTGAAAGTATAATCGATTATGGCCACTGCTATATGTTCTTTGCTGCTCTACTTCTCCATCTTCAGATTCCAAAAATTCTGACATGCTGGCTTTTGTACGCTTTGGCCTGAAAAATGAAGTGTTAATGTTTTCAACCAGTTATTTAAATATCTGAGAAGCACTGCAATCCTACAAAGACTGAAGGTAGTAGCAGCAGCCTAGAAACCTAATTGCTTTCTAGCAGCAATATATCCAGATTATCAATTATTGTTGTAAAGTTCATTTAAAAACACCAATGTATTAAAATAGCAAGCTCTCATAATATCACAGTTACTTTCTTTAATATGACGAGAGCATCACAGACTGTGTATTTTTACTCACAGACATCTACAGACTAACTCCATTTTCTACCGACCTGCATACAAGGATGTGTGTTATTGGAGTTCGCTTGACTGGTCCGTTACGACTGAAGGCAAACCCAGGCTGACGATGAATATCCTGAGGGTTTCCTGCATAGGAGCCATCATAACACTCATTGATAGAAACATCTATCCTAGCACCTTTTGGATGATACTGCAATAAATAAAAGAATGGGTTTTCCAAATCTTGTTGATCAAAGATTCCAAATCAACTTTTAGCCACTATTTGTTTATTCTGAGTTACTGGGTACATTAAGAAGGATGACAGGACTTAATTTTCCCTGTTGTAGCTACTACTGGATTTTCCCTGTTGTAGCTACTACTGCTACGTAGTATTGAAAAAAAATATTAAATTTGTTCACTTACCTTCTGAGCTCCATCTAGAAATTTACAATGTAGCTTTCTATAATGGAATCACCTTCCACTAAGGCAACACCAGTGGAAACAAAATTATTAAGAGCCGAGGTGGCGCAGCAGTTATAGTGCAGTACTGCAGGCCACTTTAGCTGACTGTGTTCAGCAGGTCAGCGGTTCAAATCTCACCGGCTCAAGGTTGACTCAGCCTTCCATCCTTCCGGGGTAGGTAAAATGAGGACCCAGATTGTTGGGGGCAATGTAAATATATATATATATACATTGCTTACTGGTGTACACCGCTTAGAGAGTGCTTGCACTTAAAGCGGTATATAAGTCTCATAAATAAATAAATAAATAAATAAATTAAACCCCAAGTGATTTTACTACAATACTTACCACATAATTGAAAATAAACCGGCTGTGACAAAGCTTGAGATGTTTAAGTAAGCTGTAAAGTTTGCGACAATTCAGCGTGCACCATGGGCAATGCAAGTCGTCTCTAGCTTCAGTCTGTTGCCTTGTGTTGTTATTATAAAGAAACTAATAAAAAGAGATAATATTATAAATGAGTTTGTTTAGAAAAAACCTACATCGCAATTCATTTTCTTTCTAGTATGCATTTTATGAATCCGTGCATATTTCTGCTCAAAACCAAGAAGTGATAGTTAGCTCCTTCAAGAACAGGGGGAAATATTTTGCCTAGTTTTCCCTAGTGGATAAAGCACGAGGCTAAAAACCAGGAGATGGTGAGTCCCAGTCCCATTTTAAGCATGAAAGTTATCTGGGTAACTTTGGGTAAATCACTTTCTCTCAACCCAAGTCACCTCACAGGGTGTTTGTCATGGAGAAAAATAGGGGAAGGAAGGAGTATTAGGTATGTTTACTGCCTTGAGTTACTTATAAAGTAATTTATAAACTCTAATAGACAGATAGATAAAATAAGACAACAATGACCTGTAGCAAACAAACATTAGATAGTTAATACCTGATAAAATATTCTCAGTTTCTGACGAGGCTCATTTGAAACATCTCTCTCTTTTCTTGTTTGTAGATCTGATGGCAAAGATTCCTTCACAGCTGAAACAGAATCTGAATAGTCAATGGCTATATAGTCTTAATACAATGTACAAGACTTAAGTCTTTTGAAGGCTATCTTTGCTACATTTGCCAATTACAGCAATTAGTAACTGAGCAATTTAGTTAAATTATTTATTTTGGAAATAGATACTTTAATTAAGACAACAAATGCCAGCACCTGGCTGATTTTCTTTAGGCTATGAATCTAAGGAGGATTCATCCTGGTCAGTATTTTGATAGGAGCTCCCATGATTCTGGCTAGACTGTGAAGTAAAAAAAAATCTGGAATACCTATAATGGAGGAATGGTTGGTGAATTTCATAGAATCATAGATGAGTTTGCAGAGATGGCAAAATTGACTTGTTTGACTATGGAAAAGACTACCTTTGATAGTGATTGGAAACCCTGTTTGGACTTTTTGCTGAAAACGAACGAACAAACAAAAATAAACTTGTGTGATTTCTGAGTTTTATGGTTAGAAAGGATATAATGTGGAAGAGGAGCCATTATGTAACCGTATAGAGAGAGGATATCATAAATACCATATTTAAAACTGCTGTAAAGAAGATCAGAAGCCATTTCTTTATATCTTTCTTTTTCATTTATTTTCTATTTACTTATCACTTTGGTTTTTTTTTTTCTTGTTTCTTTTGTTAAACATTTCTATAATAAAAATGAATTAAAAAATCCAAATTAGACAGATTCAAGGAAAAAGGCAATGGCAAACCACTTTTAACTGTTGGTCAAGAAAAATGTTTGGACATGAAAAATGTAAATGTTCAGGAGATAGTCAACAGATGTCCTTGATTTTAAGGAGACATTGCTTTCCTTCATAGGCAAAACAATCCTACTTTAGTACAAGTTTAAAGTACTATTGTGGGATACACTACAAGGATATTCTGGACTATTATTTATGGTACTTTCAATGCACATATTTATTTTATTATTTCCTATTGAAGATTATTATCACATATTAATCTCCTATATCACTTTAGACTTTCTAAAGCCATCCAGCAAATTTCTTCTGCAGCTACACTGAATAACCATCTACTATGTCACCATAGTACTATGCACACACCTTATGCCACGTCTTAATACATGAATAAAAATGTATGAAAGATGTACTGTGAGACCCATTCAAAGCAAGCAGAAACATCTAATAAAAATGCAGAGAAAGCTAGAAGAAAAGTTTGCTTTTTGAGGTAAGAGCAAATAAAACTTTAGATATAAATGTTTCTGCATACATTGTTAGCAATATTTAAACTATTATTTTTTACAATAGTGATATTTATGATCATATATTTTGCAGGCATCCTATATGGTTTCTAAAACAGGCTTAAGCTGTTTTGCAATTTTAAAGGCTGCAATACATTTTAAATAAAAGGTAATATTGACCTCAACTCGATGACTTTAGGATCATGTCAATTCTTCCAGGCTATAATACAGAAGTGATTCAGTATTAATTTTCTCTAGGAGGTGTTATGTGTATGTGCTGGACTTTCCAGCCCAGTCCAAGCTCCAATATTAAATGGTGGTCCATTCAAATATTTAGGGGTCATCACCTATTCAACCAGTTCTGACCGTTTAGTTTTCAGACTTAAGGTCTGTCAGGACCTGACACTTGCTAGGCTGAAAATTTTTCTTCCTAATCTTTAATATAAGTATTTTTCTTTGCTTTGGTACAATATTTGAATTAACCTCCAATTCTATTCAATTTTTTCATATTAACTAATTACAGACTTATTTTTATTTCTACCATATTATAATTTCATACAGAACATAAACTCTTGTTTATTTCAAATCTGTACCATATTACATTTAAGAAAGCCATTATTTACAGTTGTTATACCTATGTCTTTACTTCTAAATATTTAAACTTTAAGAAAAATTAAATATTAAATATTTCTCAATTTATGCAAATATTCTTTTTTTTTAATTTTTATTAAGTACAAAGAAAAAAAAAGGATTAAAAACATTGAACATGATAAATTGTCTTTGACTGACATCTCAGTCCATATTGTACATTAATTACATATAATATATCTATATACAACTATACATTTCAAGTCTCTATCTCAATTTATCTCTTTATTGTGACCTCCATTTTTGTTTCCCTCCATCTATAGAATTTATTCCATATTTGATAAAATTCTGTTTCTTCCTGATTTTTTAATCTTTTAGTTATCCTATCTAGTTCTGCGCAATACATAATTTTCTTTATTAGTGCTTCCCCACTTGGTACTTCCATTGCTTTCCACTTTTGAGCAAATAGTATCCTTGCTGCTGTGACCACATGGATAATTAAATATGTGTCCTCTTTATTTACATTTTTCTCTAGTATTCCTAATAGTAATGTTTCCGGTTTGTATTGAATGTTTTGCCTAGTCATTTCTATTGCCCAATCCCAGACCATACGCCAGTACACCTGTGCTTCTCTACATGTCTACCATACATGAAAAAAGGTGCCCTTTTCTTTTTTACATTTCCAATACATAGATGAATATCCGTTATACATTTTGGCTAATCTGGCCGGAGGGAGATGCCATCTGTAAACCATCTTATACAGGTTTTCTTTATATGATGTCGCCACTGTGATTTTGTTATTTCACTCCCATACTTGCTGCCATTGATCCATATTTATATTATATCCTAGATCTATTTCCCATGTCACCATTGTTTCTTTAACCTGCTCCTCATATAGTTTATGTTCCAACAGGTGTTTATAAATATTCTTTATTTATTTTTTTCTCCGGGCCTAGCAGTATTTTATCTAACCCCGTATCTTGTCTGTTAATTCCCCATTCTTGCTTATCCTTCATGTATCTTGCTCTGGAGATAAGACCACCACTCCATGTCTATTCCTTGTTGTTTTAGCTCTTGTTTTTGTTTTAAATAACCTTCTTCTGTCAAGATGTCTTTATATATAATAGCTTTGTCTATCCTGTACAAATTGGAGTATGTGACTGCCTCCAATGGCGATAGCCAAGCCGGGATCTTTGTGTAATATTGATGTTTAACTATATTCCAGCTTTTTATTAATTCTTGCCGAACCTTATGTCTTAAAAAATATTGGTGGTTTCTGCTTTGCCCCATCCATATGTGAGCATGCCAGCCCTGCTGGAGGTCATAACTCTCTAAACGTAAACATCTTTTATTTTCTAAGGTTATCCAGTCTCTAATCCATGTTAGGGCTGCTGCTTGGTAATATAACTCCCAATCTGGGAAACCTAAACCTCCCCTCTCTTTGGCATCCTGTAGTGCCTTTAATTTTATTCTTGCCTTCTTACCGGACCGCACAAATTCTAAGGTTAATTTATTCAGCTCCTTGAAAAATTTCTTGTCTAATTGAATTGGAATATTCTGAAACAGGAGTATCATTTTAGGTAAGATGTTCATTTTCACTGCGGCAATTCTCCCGAGTAATGAGAGATGTAAATTTTTCCAGCAGTCTAAAACTACTTTTATATTCTTGACCAATTTGCCATAATTGTCTTCTTTAATTCATGAGCAGCGAGCTGAAAAACTATCCCTAAATATTTTAATTTGGAAAATACTTGTATACCTAATTTTGCCTCAAGGTTTCCTTTTTGTATGTTAGTCATGTTTTTTGTGATAATCTTTGTTTTGTTTCTATTTATTTTCAAACCTGCCGGATCCCCATACTCTTCCAATATTTCGAATAATTTCTGGCCTGATTGTTCTGGGTCTTCTAATATAAATGCTAAGTCGTCTGCATAAGCTTGAAGTTTGTATGTTTCTTTCTTGATCTTAAGTCCTTTAATCTGCTTTTTTTGTCTTACTACTCTAGCAAGAATTTCTAATGTATATATGAATAACAATGGCGAGAGAGGACATCCTTGTCTTGTGCCTTTCTGTATGTTGAATTTATCAGTGGCCTCTCCATTTATTATAATCTGGGCCTTTTGTTCAGAATATATTTATGCAAATATTCTTAAATAGCAAATATATCTTAAGAAACAGGGAGCTATAATTATTATGCATTTTTAAAAATAAAGATATTTGAAGTTATTAAAAATTTTAAAGATCAAGCTTTGAAATGGGCCCAGAAACAAATTTCAAGCAATGCTGACAGATTAGCACTGAAACTAAAGGCTCTCTAAGACAAAGCAGGTATATATTGTACAAGTTCCAATAAGCGACATTTCTTCATTTGAGCTTCAGAGGCAGATTAATCCAATTAATTTAATATAATCTCAATATGACTCATGTAATATTTTACATTTACTTGAAATAAAAGAGTTTTAAAAATTATTCCAGCAAAGGGAAGGGATCTACAGCAAGCAAGCAGCACAACTAGTATCTCTGTTTCAAATATTCACCTACCTATAGTCTGTGTAGGTTTAACAGAACTTGACTTATTTTCTTGAGGGAGACTCTCTGAATTCCGTGTTGAAAGGGGCTTAGCTATAGGAGTGGAAGGTTTATCATTTGTTTCTCCAGTCCATCGAAGTGTAAACTGAAGTGTTGGTCCCTGAGAAAATGTTTCAAATGGTGGAAGCCTCTGAAATAAAATAAATAAATTTTTTAAAGAATTTTCGAAAGGAGTGTTTCATAAGGTGAAATGGAACAAGTCATTCATAAAAAAAAAATATTGAGACAGTTAAACTGTTAAGAGCCAAATAACCTTCACTGCAATAGTGGGGCAGTGGAATGGCTTGTGCACTGCAAATATTTATAGTGAGAACATGGCATACTTGACATCTAATTATATTCTCATGTATCAATTTGTAAATTGTATTTCCCCTTTAGCTGTTCACTCTCAGCCTGCAAGAGATTTCAAATGTGATCCCAACACACTAGTAAATGATCAGTCATCTGAACATCAAGCCTTATGGAGCGTAATCCTCTAAAGAAGAAATATTTATTTCAAAATATTTCATTGGAGTATTGCTCTATTACAGAACTAACCTGTACTTTTCCCTTCTAGTAAGTTGCCTTATTAATAAAATTTCAGGTCACTAACATCCCAAGCTAAGGAAATTCATCAACTTCGTGCAACTTTTAAGAGGAATTCTGGTTCTTACCTTTCCATCAAGTATTGTTTCCCATGTTGCTCTTTTCTTGCTGATAGGACATTCTTCCATTTCTTGCATTGCTACTTCATATTCTCCATCAAGAAGCTGCAACCGTCTGTTACAAAAAAAATGTTATTATTCAATATTCAATGTTGGTCACATAGCTTGGTTTAATTTTTATGAATTTTATGGGGTTTTTTCATTATCTCTAAATTATCCACTTTAATGTTGTGAAATAAATACATATTTCTTAATGTAGAAAAGGATATAAAAAGTAAAATGTCAAATTCATATTAGGGTAAAGGATTAAAACTCTGGGCTGTGAACAAAACCATTCAACTATTTCCAAAATTAAAATCTGTTCAAGGAATTCATACATTATAATACATTATATTATATTTCAACTGTTAACCATGTTTCTATGTTATTTGGAAGAAATATAGCATACTGAAATGTTAGCTGGCCTATTGTTACTTTTTATCTCTAATTGTTTGATCTTCTTGAGATTGGCAAAATTCCTGTATCAGAAATATCATAAGCATTTTTTTTAAAGATTTAGTGCTAGAAATGTTAACTGTATGCCATATGCCCTTTGTCTGTGAAGGTGATTTATGTAAAACAATTTCCTATTTTAAAAGGAAAAATGCTGATTTTTTTTTTTTATTACACTGATCTCTGTCATAACTATGTATCCTGGACTGACTTAGGGCTTGGCTTAATAAAGAGAGGCTGGATCCCAACACTGTAAAGGATTCTTGATCTATCTCTAGATTGGCAAATGCAGATAGTCTTCAACTTATAACCACAACTGAGGCTAGGACAGTTGTTAAGTGAGTTTTGGCCCATTTTACTACCTTTTTGCCACAGTTGTTAAGCAAATCACTGCAGTTGTTGAGTGAATCATGCAGTTATTAAGTGAATCTGGCTTGCCCTGATGACTTTGCTTTGTCAGAAGTAAGAAGCAAAGTCAATGGGGGATGTTTTCCCCAGTACCGTTGTAACTTGTACCAGGATACAATCTGGGCCGCTCACCTGGGACCAGAGGCTTTGTCTTCTGAGCCTTCAGAGTTGTGCTGGAGCGCCCATCCCCTCAGGGGAGCTCTTCCCTCCCCCCCTCTAGCCCAGCACAGGGATCAATCCTAGATTGGATCCTGCAATATCAACCTGGGACATGTATATTCACCTGGCTGCAAGTTGAGAACTACTTGTATATATTATTGCTTCTATTATTTCTATCAAGCTTTGTTGCTCTTTAAATTTACTCCGAGATGACTGATACACGCCCCACAGACCCACCCACGCTTGGCCTTTTCTTGCTTCTTCCCACCCTTATAATCATAGATTCACTTTACTTCTCATGTTTGGTCCATTTGGATGAATTCTATTATTTGAAAAAGAGAAAAAAATGTTGCTTTTCAAATATACTGTACATATGCTTTGTGTGGTCCTAAAATAACACACACTGTTTAACGTATCTTTTGTAGATGTAACTACTTTCAGTCCAGCTACCATTGTTAATTGTGGTTAACAGAATTCTGGCAGAAAAAGATAACCCTTGAAGTCTAATAAAGGACCCTATTTTAAAGATGTGAAAATGTGTATTTAAGAATTGAAAATGTGTATTTAAGAATTTTTACTATAAACACATTTTCAAATCAATTGATCTGTACATAAATTTTACACTTCAAATTTTCACTTCTGTTGTGAACTTTGAATGCAGACGAACATCAGTAGATTGTACTGTTTTACTGTGTTGTTACTAAAAAACAAGTTTATAACTTGTTTTAAAATAAAAATCAATGTGCTTTTTCATCTGAAGAACTCCTACATTAAAACATTCTAATTTTAAATTTAGCATGAAAATCAGAATTGAGTTATCTTTATTTTTTGGCAATGTTTAATCACAGGTGGTAATTACTATGTCAGTATAGAAATGGGAATAAAGCATTCAATCTCAAAAAAGGACAGTACCTATGCAAGCGCAATATAGACAGCATAGAAGAGTGTTGAAATGGCATCAGCTGCAGATATTTATGCCATAAATTCATAAATAGTTTTACAATATAAATATATATAACTAAATATATCTTAATTTTAGGGGGTAACAATTTCTCTCAGAGATTTTATAATGCAATGAAGAATATTTTAATTCTATTCTGGGAATGATGAGCCTTCAAAAATTAAATTTGATCGAGAACCCTTAGGCCAGACATGTCAAACTTGTGATGTTGCGCGACGTATCAGAACTTTTTTCCCATTGCCGGCAATGGGGTGGGCGCGGTTTCGTTATGATGCGTCTGGCCCGCGGGCTGGCAGTTTGACACCCATGCCTTAGGCTAAATCCACATTTAAAAGGCTAATAGAAATATATGCAAGGAAAAAAACTCATTTTTAAAGAACACATTACCTATTTTTATCAAATACAGTCATTTGTGCTACAAAAGTCTTTTCCCCATCTTCACGGTTGGAAGAATTTCGTTTTCTTCGAGCTGGAAGCTCTTCATTAACATCTGTAATTAAATACAGTTATTGTATGAACATAATATTTACTAATATAATTCTTACTCATGTAGCTTGAATTTTATTACTTGAATTTGCTCATAAACAGCTATTTACAGATACATAATAAAAATAGAAAGCAATGAAAAAACTAAGATCATATCCTTTCTTTGGTATAGAAATCCTTTCTAGGCAGCAAAGTTTTAATATGCACAAGAAGATTGTATTAAAACAATTCACTACTCTCAATTGCATATGTTCTAGATCAGGGGTGTCAAACTCGCAACGTCATGTGATGTGTCGCTGCATATTGCGACTTTTTTTCCATTGCCGGCAATGAGGTGGGCACGGTTTCACCATGATGCATCCGGCCCGTGGGTCAAGAGTTTGACACCCCTGCTCCAGATAAAAGGATACTAAGGTACCAGATGCATAAAAGTAAATTCAATTTGCATTCTGCTAACATAGGCCCTTTGGATGCTGACAGGAAATCCAACTTCAAGGTGTGCTAAAAGTACAGTGGAACTTGTAGAATTTGTAGTCTTGTTTAGGGCTGATCTTTCTCTTATTTAAGGTTTATCATTTCTCAAATACTAGCCAAAGTATTTTCATTATTCTTGTTTCAAAATGTATGACCTACATATGCTATATATTCTCTAGGGCAAAACAGATTCTAGCCAATACGGAAACACCAAATTACTTAACTGAATTGTATTTATTATAGCAATACGTTAAACTTTCTCAAACTACCTGCAATAAAATGATTGCATCAAGAACTGAAAACCTTGCCCTCAGGAAGTGGTTTATTCTCCATTTATGTCTTTTTCCAAGTTGCTGTTCTCTCCTGTTTGGATTTATAATACACAAGGCGAAGGCCAAAAAGGAAAATTATATAAGAATTAGGTTTTTAAAAATATTTTAATATTCTATTGGACAGCTATAGCAACCAATTTAGGCTCCTTTGGAAAATGAAAGATAGGAATAAATAAATAGTGATGTGAGAATATCTTTTACAATTTTCCCTGAAAAAGAAACCTTACTCAAGGACACGCGGGCCTGAGTCAAAACTGAAAGAAGGCAGATAAAAGGTATGCATGAAATCTTATGCAATGAACATCTGCACATTCAAGAACTGACTCCATCTTTTTATTTCAAGTGAAAGTGAAATAGACTTCACTCTTACCAATATTTTCATTTGTTTCACCATTTATCATCCCATTAAATTCTCTTCTTCCTGGACGAGTTACTCTGAATAATAATGAATAAGACTTCACCATGTGGCTGTTACTGGGTTCAAACTCATTGCTGGAAACGGCCAATGATGGAAAGTTGCCCGGCTTTATTTGGCTGGTGTCTGGATTCAAAGGTACCTGCTTTTTCCCTGTAGGTACTTGTCTTATAGGACAGCTAACATCCTGCAGACAAATATAAGATGATTTGCTGAGCACAGCAGAGCAAAACCCAAGATTATCCATTTATTTATTTTACAAGATTTTATATATTGCCCCAATATAAAATCTGAGTGGTGCACAGCATATCCAATCCACATTAAAACAAAGCAATAACTAGATGGTGCCCTAGAACAGCCCATTATGGGCCAAAGAAAGATTGGTTTTCAGATCCCTCCAAAAGGACAGGGGATACTGGATGAAAAAGGCTTACATTTTTCTTCTCTTCCCTCGCTAAAGGTTTGAACGTTTGAACCAGACCATACTTGGACAATATTTTTTTGTGGCTAATCTTTCTATAAAACATTGGTCAGATCAAATACAAAAAATGAAAACATTTCTACCGACTCTAAAAATCACTTTTATATCACCTAGTTTGAACTTGCTCATATTTGCGACTTTTCCAAGAGTTTCAGAAGATTAATATTAGAGACACACTGCATCTAAAATATATTGTAATAGACAAGCAAACAAGCAAGTTTTATATTGAAGCCTGAGGACTAGATCTACATTATGTCAAATATTAATTAACAATATAGCTCTATCTTTATATTATCAGAAATGACCAAAATAAAGTTATCAAGTTTGCAGATTTCATAATTTAGCTTTAACTAAAATTGTTAACAAAACATTTTCCTAACTTAATTACACTGGATTATACCTTTCATTTTAAATCTAAAGTTGTAACACTATGTCTGAAATTCTGTTTCATAATATTCTTGCTGAAATTCTAATTAACTTTAAAAAAAGCTATCATTAGAAGCATGCTATTTTGAGTTTTTACACTCAAAGAAAAAAGCTGTTTAATAACCTACTTTAACAAATTTGCACATTTCCCCCCCAATTTAAATGCTATAATTGGAACAATACCAATAAATGTATATGGCATCAGCTTTAATTGATAATATTTCAACTTGCACAGCTGAAAAATGTGGATGGTATTCTGGAACTGATGAAGTAATCAAAAATATCTAGATTATTTTTATTAATAACTTAGATGATAGTAAACCTTAATTGAAGGTAGAGACAAAAGATGTACCAATTAATATATTTTTACCTAGTTTCTAATATTCCATTTGGATAGTACTATTGTATATACAGGATAAATTTTCAACTACAGTATGCCTAAATTAAATTTATTTCCAGGCTTCTGAGGTTTGTCATAAAATTGCTGACAAACCCCCTTATCCTAGGAAGCTGTCACTGCCATGAACTGTGTTCTAGAAGTAATAATGGATTAGATGTATCTTAACATAATGAAATTGAATTCTTTTCAGTTCACTGTTAGTTCTTGAGGTGTGCAGGATCTACATTTGAAGCAGAAAAATATTTGGCTCTAGTATGATACATTGTTTCTGTTGACATCAAAAACCCAGGCCATTCAGTAGTCTCTTAGGAAAGTTGTGCAGTCACATGCAATATATGTTTGAATTAAGAAAATGATAAAGAGACAATGAGATTCAGGAATTGCTGTTATGTACAGTAAGAACAAACAACATTTCTCCCCACTATTCCTAGTTCAGACCTAACTAGCAGAAACCTCTGTTTAACTAAATTGCATCCACATGGTTGACTCTAATTAGAACATTTGGAAGTACAATTGGTCTTGTACACAGCACCTATGATTGTTACCAAAGTCTACATAAAGAGAGAATATGACTATTAAAAACAGGTGTATAAATATTCCCCTTTGTTTTGGAGGAAATTAAAAATATTAACAATTTTCTTTCAGATTCGTCAAAATATTGTCTTTTTTCACTTTTTTCCAAAACCAAAGTTCTGGTGAAGATACCACATTTTTCCATGTATAAGATGCTATTTTTTTTCTGCAAACACCCTGTTCAAAAATCAGGTGCATCTTATACAAGTGCAGCATCTTATACACGGAAAAATAATGGTAACCTCCGCAGCCCAGGGCATGCCTGTGTGGGTTCTTTACATGCTGCTGCCATGCCGCCTGGTGTAGAGGTCAAGCCCCTGTGGGCTTCCCACTAATGGGAGAGGGGAGGGGATAAGATTGTCGGCCGGCTGAACTTCCGGATTTGCCGACTCAGCTGTTCAGTGCTCTGCCAAACAGCTGATAGGCGTGGAGAAACTCGCATGCAGAGTGTCTTATACAAGGGTGCGTCTTATAGACGGAAAAATACGGTAATCATATATCCATTTAATTGCTCATCAAGTCTTATCATTCTTCCAGTTTCTAACAACCCTTTTCCAATGTGCCAAGGGATCTAAAGAGCCACAAGACTAACAAGGAATTTTTGGCCTTTTGTTCAAACAAAATTTTTAAAAATGTTCAATCAGGAGCACTTTTTAAGACTTATCATTCAGCTTGCAAAGCAAGCAGTTTTTAAAATGTTGTAAAAATCTTAAGCTACATTTTTAAAAAATCAACAAAGAGAAAAAACCATCAAAAATATTAAGCTTAAATATTTTTAAATTAAAAGTTTAAATTTAAATTTAAAATTAAGAGTTTGAGGCAAAATGCTCCCTCTCTTTAGAATTCAGGTAAACAAACTGAAGAAAGTAAGACCTAATTAGAACTTATTATTTCATCTGGCAGTAAAATCTGAAAAAATCTAGTCCTTAAATGAGAGATATGAATAAAACAACAGTAAAAGAGAAACTTGACAAAGCAAATAAATGGCTTACTTATTTGGATAGTTTATAGCTTCTTATAAGAAATCGCCTAGTTTTAATGTCACGCTCTTCCTTACCAACTATAACTTTTCTAAACATAATTGTCTTTTCTATTTTTTCTAATATTTTAACATTCGCTTTCTAGTACTTACTTTTCGCTTTTTGTGACAAACTTTTACGAGCAATACTTCCAGAGTTACAGAACTTTGTTCATTTTCTGAATTTTGCAATGGCTTATCTAAACAGTCAATATAGAAAGAGAAAGATTTAAAATCCTGAAAAGATTAGGAATTGAATTCTGCATGGCCAAGATATATTTACAGTAAGATATTGCTGGATGCTTTAGAAATGCCCACTCATCCCTAACAGAAGGCTTTCATGTCAGTAGGAATTGCCTAACTACCTTTTTTCGCAGAGAGATTTCTCAAGACACATTGTTAAAAAATGCAGAATTAGGCAAACAGAAAAGCATTTGTCTAGTGATGGCCATTCTATATTTAAGCTTGACAAAAAAAAAAAAACATTTTGTTTTTAATCACCTTAGTTGCAAAGCCAGATCTCAAATTCAAAAACATCTATTTATTACCTGTAAATAGAGCTGCAGTTGTTTTCCATCACTCAGAAATGGTACAAAGGTTTATATTTTGAAATACTGAAACAAAGTCCTATGGAGTGTACAATACTTGCCAACCAAATACAATTGAAACACAAAGGTCCAGGAGCTTTAGATTTAAGGGAATACCATAGCACACAATATTCTTCTTGAAGCTCAATTTAAATCCTTGGTACAGGTAGGCCTTAACTTACTACAATAGGGCCTAATATATCCATTGCTAAACAAAACAGTGAATGAGCTGTGCACCATTTTATAACCTTTTTTGGCACAGTTGTTAAATGAATCACTGCAATTAGTTGTTAAGTGACTCGTGTTTGTTAAGTGAATTTCGCTTCCCCCACTGACTTTGCTTGTTGGAAGCCACCTGGGAAGGTTACAAATGGTGATCACATCACCTCAGGATGCTGCAACCATCATAAATATATGCCAGTTGTCAAGTGCTTGAATTTTGATCATGTGACCATGGGGATGCTGCAATAATGGTAAGTACAAAAACAGATCATAAGTCATTTTTCTCAATGCCATTGTAACTCCAAATGGTCACTAAATTGATGGTTGTAAGTCGAGGACCATAACAAATGCTTAGTACACCATACTAATATACAGAAACAAAATCATTAAGATTGCCATTAACTTCAAGCTTTAAAGCCAATTAATTAGTCTGACAGACTGGATATAACTAATACTTTACAATAGTATTGTATAAGTCAAGTTTTAAAAGTATTTTTATTGTCTTAATTTCATTCCCTAACTCTGTAACAAATGACATTTGTCAACTGAGAGAACAGCATCACAAGGGGAAAAGAGATAAACTACTTACCATTTTTATGGAAGAAACCGGTAAAGGTGAGATGTAGATGAGCAGACAAGCTAAATTAAGAAAATAAAAATTTAACTGATTTGAAGTTGTGACATTCTTTTAAGTCTTTATGCAAACAAAGATTTTGTCCACTAAAACACTGCATTTACAAATAACACAAGTACCACTATACAACTACTTATATGAAACATAGCAAGTGCTATAAATAATCATTTATTTTGCTAAAATAACATGTATATTATTCACTGGGTGTTTCAAGTAGTTGGGATTAGATGTACAGATAGTTCTGAATGAGACTGCACTTTTTCCTTTGGAATCTATAGTTTAATTCCTGTTTTAGGTATTATTGGTTAGCTTCAGCTTCAGTTGACACTTCTTTACATTACACATACTGACCTAGCATTAGTCTTTAATTCCCTAATTGTTTGGATTAATATTATATTCCACATTAGAATGCTTAGATTAAGAATTTCTCATGCTTGAAAGTGCAAGTCATTTTACTAATTATGACCTGTATTTACTTCATATTTGTCAAACTTTAAGACTGATCAGTAGTATTCTGAGTCCAATTCAAAGTGTTTGTTTTAATGTTTAAAGGCCTCTACCAGATGAGACAAAACCTGGAAGATTCACTCACCAAGTTGAGAATATAACAATAGGATGGGGATGACTGAAGTTACAATGCAATATATCTGAGGTCATTAGTTGAACAGGCTGCTCTAAACAAAATAAGCCAAAGTTTCTGACCCACTTGATCCCTTCATTATTTGCCTAAAATTGTTTAGGTCTTCAATAGAGTCAATTTGAAAGAACAATGTCATAAAATTATTTTGTTAAAATATTTATAAACAATTTGAGTTATGTCAATCTCCAATCAAGGTATTTCACAATGTTTTAAAATTCAGTTTTGTAAAGGTCATACAATAGTAAAGTCTATGAATAAAGACACAGAATCAATAGTATCCTAGTCAAAACATTAGCTTCAACAGCCTGCTGAAATTAAATGACCCTTAACAAGTAGCAAAACCACTGGAGGGGAGTCAACTTCAAGGCATTCTATAAGATGGTACACCTTGTAAAAACAGGTAACGAGTCGGACAGGTAACAAGTCGGACAGTAATTACATGAAAGTTATAATAGAAAAAAATGACTCAATTGCAACATATATTTCAGCGCTGGTGGAAGTAATTTTACCCTAGCATTACAATGACTATGTTGTATACTAATGAGAATGCACTGCAAAGAAATTTTAATAATGCAGAGTTTTAAATTGGTTGGTAATTATATGAATTATTAGACTTGCTTTGATTTCTTTCTAAAAGAAATATGCTATAACACTTCCTAGATATGAAGTATTAATGACTGAAAGCCTTGTTTACTGAATTAGGATAAACTGGGAGAAAAGCATTCCCAGCATTTATGACACAACTATGAGTTTTTCTTTTCTTACTATACTCATCAAAGCTTGTCCCTTTCACTTGCACTATAATACCAATGTTGGATAAAACTACTGTCAAGAACCATTTTAACAAATCTGATATATATCTTGTTCAATGAATTTTAATCACTGGTTTCTAAAGTTACAAATTTAATAAATTTAACATCTCAGTATTTAAAATATTTTAAGGTATATATTTATACTTTAAAAACAATCTGTAATTTCCTATCAAGAAAAATGATTGAAAATTTTATTTCAGAAGGACAAAAAACAAACTCATCAAGAAAAGCCATTAACTCAAGATCCTAAGTTATTTAAGCAATTCCTCACTTGAAGGATTTTATTTTACATTATTTTTTTGAATGTGTATGTTATGAGCCTATGTCATCCAAGAAAATTGAATTGGCAGTGGATTCATAAAAAAATAAAATTGAATATTTCACTAGAGTCCCAATTTACAGTCCTAGGAAAAGATGTATTTGACTTGAGAAATTAAAGACCTGTCTGAAATGTTTCCAGTTCTGCATTTAATGGAGCAACGTTTTGTCTTAGAATTCAAAACACTGTAATGCTGTGCTTCAATGTAATCTAATCTGCATATAAGCAAAGTTTGATAACATATTCTGTGCATAAAAGTACATGGCTCATTCCCACAAAGTTTTTTACTTCCTAGAAAGCAGTGATTTAGGCACTCTTGGGAAATACATTTTCCAGAATAGAAGCCATTTTCATCATTATTATAGGTTTGCACATCCCCGATGTCCTACCCTTCATTTGCCATATTCTTTTATTACATAAAGAAATGCTAAGTTCTTTTGAATTAAATTTCAATTTCTAAAACAATTCAATAAAAACTAATAAAAATGTATTACAACAGGTAGTGTTTGTTTCACTTCTTCAATGACCATTTTCCTGCAAGGTAAATGGGGAAGCTGGCAGGAAGTCAGAGGTTGTAGTTACATAAGGTCCTTGCTTAACAATGGCAACTGGGGCTGCTGGAACTGCCCTAGCTGAGTTGCACAGTCACATGATTTATTTATTTTTTTTTACTTATGACAATATTGCTGACTTTCCAATCCCAATTAGCATCATTAAGCAAGATCTACCTTTATCATTTTTTTTCTAAAAAAGCTGAGAAGCTTAAGCTAAAAAATGTACAAAGACATTATTGAAGGAAATAAAATTCCTTAAAAGAAACAGCAAACACCATAGAAGTGTACACCTATCAATCTCAATCATTAACATGTATTGCCTTCCTAAAAAAATAATTCATGCTGTGCCAAAAACAAAAAGAGAAGTCAGACCAATTTCTGAAAGATAAATAGGCCACTCAACAGATTCCTTCTCCAGTTCCAATAAACTGAATTTCTAATTATATAAGAGTTTTAAAATACTGTATTATTTCAGCAGGATCACATCCAAAACTTTTTGAAATATGGCAGTCCAAAACTATGTCAATGTACTGAGGGTAATAAAGTAGCACTTTGAACTGGCCCCAGAAGTCAAGCGACAGCTAATATAGCTATTTCAGTATAATATGCTGAACATTTATCTGCAAAGTCACAATATTTTTAAACAAGGTTTAAAGGCAGCCAAAAAGAGAGCACTCTGATCCCAATCCATACAGTGCAGAATAAGTGGAAATTGGACTACATAATGGAAATCAAGGAAATTTCAAAAAATAATCAATTGGTGTATCCAGCCTATATACTACCCAAAAATAAATGTCTACAGAAGTCTCCTTTTGCAGATGCAACTTTATTATATATCATTCAGTGTTAACTGAGACATCACACTATCAAAGTACAAAACACACACATCTCTTTAACAGGATTAATTTATGGATATTTTATTATGGGAGAAGCAGATGCAAATTATCTTAATCTACATCACATTTCACTTCCATTTCTGCATAAATTTTATCGGCACATTTTTTTAATCTATCATGTATTCATCGCAGTTGAAACATTGCTAGTGAAACACATTGGTTGATAAAACAAATGTTACCTTTGCAAGTCGTGTTCTCCCTTTGTTTTCTCTACTTTCGTCAGCATCCCGTCTACTCTGAAAGTTTTCCTGCAATAAAAGTTGGCTTTTCAAATTGCACTGATTTCCATTATGTAGTACAATTTTGTTGCATAAAAAAATTCTTCTAAAAAAATACCATCCTTCAGGAACCAAGCCCCAGGCATTTTTTTTTCAAAATCATACTGAATGTATGAGGAGCATCCCAGCAATTACTATTAATTTAGGTTTTTTATATATTATTTGTTGAATGCAATTTAAATATCACTATGAGTACAAAACATTTACAAGGTTTTAATCCAAAATTAGACAGATCTCTGAGCATAGGTAAACTTACAAATGAAATTCAGTTTTGTATTGATGTCTTTACATCACTAAGTTTTCTATCAATCCTCCCCATTTTGGATATAACCAACCCCACCCCACCCAAATTTTGAAGTAGCTACACCGGTAACTGCAGGTACCTATATTTCCTTAAGTAAGCAACATACTCTATTAATCTTAGCATTAATTACCACATGAAAATTCCTGGAAACCATGCTACATTATTTGGTAGACTGATGCCAATGCTGAGCCACCAAAAACTGAGAAACATTGTCTCATCTATAAAATGAAGAACCAACATAAAAAGCAACGCTGTAGCTTCCTTTCAGGTTTTACTATTTCTATTATATTTGTTTTATAAATGATATAATCAAGCTGAGTTTGAAAACCGATAGAAGAGTATATTTGAGTTTGAAAACATCCACACAAAACAATAATACCGAAAAGGAGTACACAATGCTCTTATATCCAAGAAATCCCCAGCTACAAAGTGGCAACATTCTGCATCTTCTTTTTTCATCCTTCTAAAATATTTTTCATTATCATGCACAGGATATTTTCTTTTTTTATGTTCTGGGTTTTATATTCTGGGTAGGAAGAGTTTGATTTAGAAATGCTAGAATTGGGTAGTGGTTCCTTTGACAATCCCTTCAAGCAACTATCCTGCATAGTCTGAAAACTAGCAATATAGTCTTGCCCCTGAACTGCAGAGATCCACTGAGAAATCTATTTAAGAACATGATTAGTTTTTGCAAATCCTAGTTTGGGGAGAGCTTTCAGCTTTCTACAGTATATAGAAACAATCTTTTTTATCAGTAGCCAAACTTAGCTACCAAGCTTAGTTACCTTAGTTAGCTTTGTATAGTCCAAAGACGGGAGACTGCCTAAATCAGACTACTTACAAGTTATGGTATCTAATCTATGTCCTGATCACACTGTATCTATTGAAAGGCTTCTTACAGCCTAGCCAAAAGGAAAATAAATTGAATAGAGGATGCTCAATGTTTAGTTTATTAGTACAATTGTTCACATTCACGTTGATCAATAGCACACATTTTACAGCTGATCTTGAGTAACACTAAAGTTATGTCTTTTTCCTACAAGTATATATAAATATTTTAAAAGATGAAAAATTTATATTATCTGAAGAGAATCCAGAGTAAACGTGTACAATTGTGTTTTGTGGCAGAATATCCACATATATTTCTTCTTTTTGCACATTAAGTTACAGTGGAATATTTTTATTTGAGAATGGCTGAGATTTTGATAGTAATAAAACTATTGGAAACATCTTTCAAAACATCTTATTCAATTTTGTTCATATCAAAAATCAACCCACTTGGAAAAAACACCAAACCTGGATCTGAGGTAGGTCTAGAATATACTGCTTTGCAAGAGATCTAGCATCTTTTTAAAAGTAGGCTTTTGGTTTATGTGATGCAATTTTACCTCCCATACTATTAATAACTAGAACAAATTCCTGGATGAGATAATTCTAACAGCTGGATAGGTACAATTATTTGAATACCTGAATCTATTTGAAGTACCATTCTTTGATCCCAGGGCAATAGCAGAAGGCTAAACTAATGCTTGGGAATAACTGAAAATAAATTAAGGTATATTTCATATAAAGAACTTTGGCCACAGAATCTGGAAATAATTTATTCTGCATGAAAATGTATTTCAGCTAAACATTTACAGCCTGGAAATGGGCTCTAGATCAAGGACTCGGGAAAGAGCAGAAGTAAGGATTCTTTCAGATATATAATGATAAGCAGGCCATGGCAGGAGACATATATTCTGGTCATGATCAGGTTAGATCACTATAATAGGCTATTGTGCGATCACTCCAAAAACTAGAATGGTTATGTTCCAGTAGAAGCCAAGAGATCATCATTTTTTTTATCTGCTATACTTGCTAATTTCTAGGTTGAAAGGTGCTGACTTAAATCCTAACATGCAGAACGAAAAAGCACTGAAATCTTATAAAAACCCATTCCATGAGTCAAGGCCTTCCATTTCACTGCTATTTAAGGTATGTTAAATTGATCTTCTAACCACAGTGTTCAAAATGTATAATACTTCCTTATAGGGAAAATTCATTTCCAATTTGTCATTTATAAAGCAAATTTTATTTCAGTGAGGGTTCTTCTAATTTTATTTTAACTTTATTTACCACTTTGTATTAATTCATTAATCATGAAGCATCTTTTTACATTTACTTGACAGAATAAAAATAATTTACAGAACAAAAAAACCATTTATGAATATTTTTTTAAAAGGACATGCTAGTCAATCATTTTTAATATAGACATTTATTGCATTATTTTGTGTTATATCTCCCATAACTATTTAAAAACACTTTTAAAGAGTATTTCAATAAACAGATTTCAAAAATTCAGTAGACTGACTATACAGTAATATCAATTTTTATGGTTTACAAAACAAGACATTTTATTGGGACTTATGGACAATGAATTAGACTGGTAGACTGATTTTGTATATGGTAACTGCAAAGCAGAAGTTAAAGCAGACTTGGATAAAATGAGCTGAAGGGATTTGTATATCTAAAAGGGGGGAGAAACAATATTGTAACTTTCTCTTGAAAAGAATTTCAGAAGTCATTTATATATTCCTTTAGTTATTTTCTTTTGTTCCCATTTTTATGTTTTCATTTGTCTTATATTCTATTAAAAATAATGTAAATAAAGTTTTTTTTAAAATTTATAATAGTTTCACTATCTAGCATCTTTGATTTGATTGCTTGTAGGTCAAATACTTACTTAAAATATATTTTAAACCAGAGTAAATGACCTTTGATTGAAATAATTTATAATTCTACTAACAAATACTTTCAGTATAGAATACACCACACAATAGAGAGATATTAATCATGATGCACTTTTAAAGCAGAATGAAGTAATTGTGTTATATGCAGTACAAGCTGGATACAGACTTTATATATATCAATATTCATTAGTCATGCTTTTTAAAATACTTTCAAAACTTTCAAGACTGATAATTATATTAATCTAGACATCATATACTGTACAAATTCAAGACCAAATAAATTATAACTCAATAAAATAAATGGACTCAGTCTCAATATGAAGACAAATATTCCAAGAAATTAGTCTCTATGAAAACAAAGATTCGGAAGAAAAAATAAAGTCACACATATTTCTTCTATTACAATCCAACAGCAGCAGTCACCAACAAAGTTTCAGGTACACTGAATATTAGAAATTAATCCAAAAAATAGCTCAGGATTCATTATAGTTAAATCTTCATCTACTACCTTGCACCAGCAGCCATTAAGTCATTGTTCAGTCACAACAGTGTGAAAGTATTAATTTTAAATTACCAGAAATAGTTTTAATCACTGACATCTGTTTATTACATGTTAGAAGAATTCAGTGTATTTTCCTTACTAAATATATCCCATTACTTCAGACTGTGTCTTCTTACATTATAATCCCTGTATGTTTTTTATCATTGCCTAACATGCTACCTGTGTTATTTAAATGGCACTGCATCATTAATGCCATGTAAGTAACAAAATATCTATAGCTTATTACTAATACTATGCTGCAAAGAATCAAAAGAAAATTTAAACCCACTAAAATACAAATAGTTAGAAATGCTTACTTTAAAATAGCCAGATAAACCTTAAAATGTTTAAAAATCAGCCACAATAAACAAAAAACTAGTGTTATAAATACGCAAAAAAATAATGCACATTTTTTTTGTTATTAGCAAGAGGTTGGAATTACCTGCCTTGGTTACTGAAATTGTATTAATTTATAAATAAATCACTGAGACAAAATTCCTAAAACTATCACATAAAATATGGCACATCAAACAAGCAAATGTCAAGCTTCCTCTGGATAAATGCATGTATCAACTTCATCTCATTATGTAGATCAGAAAAATTTTAGTTTCAGCTTCAAAGACAGCTATTGACAAGATATATTTATATAACTATTTTGTCATTTATTGGAAAACAAAGTCTCTGTTTTAATTACAGCTTAAGTTACCTTTTAATATTTGTTCGGGAGTTTCTGTGGGACATATAAGTGAGAGTTCTATGTAAGAATATTGGCTGCAACAGAAAACAGGGAAAAAAAATCAATCCAATGCTCACATGAGAGAATCTACAAAGTTAAAGACAAAAATGAATAGTTACTTACAGCTATAAGATTGCGGGTACGTAGAAATCTATATATTTGTGTTGGTTCTGTGAGGAAAAAATGAAATATTCTTTACACAAAGCTGCTAATCTGAGACCTCACTAGCTTTTGTACACGCACTACAAAGTCATACATAAAACATTCTCACTCATATCAAACCTGTGTTAATATATATTTCAAATATGAAATGAGTAGGTGTTTTCAAATAGTAACCTAATAAATATCAATATCACTTTGTTGCAGGGATCAAAAGAAAGTCTGTGGAGATTCTCAATTATCCAGATCATGGTTGTACCAAAGGTGGTTCCCCCCCCCCAAGGCAACTTTTGGATTTTCTTGTTTTTTTATTTAAATAAGTTTCATTTCGCATCCAAGAAGCTTCTTCAGTTCTAAGTTCTGGGATGAGAAGTGGAACATTTAAAAAACACACACCAAGAAAAACCAGTTGCCTTTTGGAAAAAACAACTTTGGGACAGTTCACAGAAAAGTATCACAGTTGGTAAATATCCTGCTGTACAGCAGACAATCAGGGACCCTAACATAACATTTATATGGAAATGGAGTGCACACAACCTTGTATATTGGAACCTGTGGTACAGCAACAGCTAGAGGAGCCAAGTAATGAGCATAAGAAAGAAAACAACAAATCTTACAACAATTTAAGTATTTTAAACTTTTCAAAATGCTAGCTGGGTTTATAGATCACATTATGCACCATAGCACGGTAGCCTAGCTTGCACAAATACCTAATGTATTATTTACAAATTAATCAAAGCTGCTATTTGTTCTATTAGTTTAAAGAGTTGGGACTGCTTAGGTTTAAAAACCAGTCAACTAAAAACCAATCTTTCCATATTTTAGCTACAATATGTCAATGTTATATAAGATATCATACATTGGATACTCATCCATCTATTTAACATGCTACAATACTCTTTAACAAGTTACTCTTTTTTGTTTAGCTCAGGAGTATGGCTCAACTTCTGTAATCCACTTCTCATGCACTAGTGGTCTACACCCTAATTAGAACACTTTAAAAACGAACAGTTAAGGCTGTATTTTCGGAACACGTAGTACATTAAATCGATTACTGTATAGAGAGACCTATATTTCGATTTCTTAAGGAATTCTCGAGGGTAGGAAGATGATACTGGAAACAACACAGTATCGCTTTACAACACCCACAGCACCATCCCCATCATCCCTGCGAGAAAAAGAGAGAAAGAGGGACCCAAAACGCAACTCTGCGCCGCGGTGCGCAATCCCACGGCTCCCGAAAGCTCCCGGAGTGGGCGTGCGTGCCCGCTGGCTCATTAACGAAATGATTAGCAAGGCATGAATTTCCCTAAAGAGACCGCCCGGACTGACAAGCCAGATACAGAAGCGGCGGCAGGTTTTCCTCCAGCCTCCCGCCCAAAGGTCTACGGAGATTCTCCAAACATTCAGGTGGCGGGTGGTCCCCAAGGTGCTTTTCCGAAAAGAAAGAGTGCAATCGCCTCTCTTGGAAAAGCACCTCGGGGACTCCCGCCCAAAGGATCGCAGGAAGAAGCCCCGCGCTGGGTCACAAGCGCGCTTTGCCCCGCTACCGCGGCGCGACTTGGGGCGGAGGGGGAGCGGCGGCCGTGGCCCTTCATCCCCCTCCCACCACCACCACCACCCCCAAAGCCCACGCTCACTCTCGAAGGCCTGAAGGAAGAGCTCGTGGTCAGCCTGGATCTGCTCCATCTTCGGTTTTTTCACCGGGGGCAGGGCCGCCGCTGAACCGGCCGCCGCGGAAGATGCCGACGAACCCCCGCCGCCGCCGGAATAACTGCCGCCACCGCCGCCGCCTCCTCCTCCGCCGCCGCCGCCGCCTCCAACAGCACCGCCGGATTTGCCGCCTGGCGCAGCGGCTGAGGTGAAGCCGCCGAAACCCCCACCGGCGCCTCCGCCCGTGGCGGTGGCTGTGGCGGCAGCAGCGCCTCCCCCTCCGCTCGGAGCACCTGAGCTGGGCCCCGCGTTACTCCCGCCGCCTCCGCTGCCTCCGCCGCCGCCGCCGTGCTTTTGAGGAGCCATGAGGCCTTTCCTCCGGGGCGGGAGTTGGACGTCAGGTACGGACCGACCGTAGGAGGGGAAAGGGCGCAGGAGCGCTCGCAAGGTGAGGCGAGGAGGAAGTGGGAGCGCTTCAACTCTTCGGAGTGCCCCCACTCGGTTCTCCTCAAGCGCCCTCTCTGCCCAGCCAAACCCGACGGCGCCGCCACCGCCACTCCCGCCCCCTCCGCCGCCTTTCTACTGGCTCCCGCGATGGCGCCGTACCGCTTTATTGGCCGACAGAGATCCCGCCCAGCCATGACGGCAGAATGATTCTGCAAGAGTTTGGTTGGACCGCGCGCTTCACCGCCGGGAGCTTCCCTTTTCCCCTCCCCCTCGTTCTTCCTTTGAACTGAATTCGCGGGAAAACGAAGCTGCTGCTGCTGCTGCTCCTCCGCCCCCCCTTCCATCCCCTGCCCCGGAGTGCATGATGGGAAAGGACCAGCGACTGGAGCTTTGGGTTGCTCTTCTTCGAACTAGCGACGCGTGTCGGATTGCTAAGAGAAGAGGCGGCGGCGGCGGCGGCGGCGGCGTGAAAACTCCATCCTTGTTTGGTGGAACGGTTTTGAAAAATCTGAGCGCGCGGAAAAGCGATCACGCGTTAGTAGAGCTGGTTCCACACGTGCTGCAGAGTATACTTATGGGTGCCATCTTTGAGATCTTATCTCTTGGTCAAATTCTACAAGCAGAAATTAATGTCTCATGGGAGCGATCAATGATCGTCCCCACTCCCACTCGCGAACACGTTCTTAGTTGCAGGATAAACGCGTCTTTCCTTCCATCGTCTGGGGGGAAAATACGTTGAGGGAAAAATCATCTTGAGCCCTTTCTAATCTTCAAAAGTAATGGAATTTATTCCTTAGCATTGATGCTATAAAGTTTGAAACGTGCAAAATGTTTCTTCTCACAAGATCTCTGAGATACAACCCAAATGCAAGTTTAAATAAAACAACTACATGCCACAACATTGTTAAAAGGATGTAATTTCTGTCTTGTGCAGGTGAACTATTGATAATGATTAAACTGTAGCTGTTCTTTTACAGTATGAAACAATGGAGGAGCAAATATAAAAATAAAAGCATTACAAACGCAGGATGTCCTTTGAGTTGCTCATAGTAAAATTCCATGGAAGAGATTTGATTGCTCACTATGTAAAATTCAGTTGTTAACAGGGATGAGCTTTTGGATACCCACATAATAAATAAGCATTGAGATGTTTTTACTGTGGTCCTTAATAAATTTGGTGTATTCCACGGAACGCTTATCCATAGTGACTCTGCAGCTAATTAATACATGATAAGAAATAAAAGCAACAAGCAGTTTTGATTAAGCTTCTAATACAATAAATGTCACCTATCATATAGTTTTTAAGAGGCTGGACTACAGTCTATGCTTGCCTGAGGGAATTGTTGAGTCTTCAGACAATCAGTTTGTTTTAGCTGAATTTACCTCACTGATTTGTAAACAAAATTAGCATAGGCGATGCAGTGTGGGTCACTGAGCTCTTGGAGGAAGGTGGGTTAGATTTCCAAGAAATAAAACAGCATGCTATCTTCCTGATTCAGAACCTTTTTACCATCCATTTTAGAAACTGATTATAGGAAGGATGATTCTTCATATGAGTTTTTTTCTTTTTCTTTAAATTTGTGTACCTTTGAGACAGTTTTTAATTCACGGAATAGTTTTCTTGCCAATATTTTTTAGACATGGGTAGCCCTTATCTGCTTCCCAGGGACGGAGAGAAACCAGCCCAAGGTCACCCAGCTGGCTTTGTGTGCTAGTTTTTTATCCTGTTGCCTTAACCCCTACCGTACAGCAAACCAGCTGTCTTGTCCTGATGTTATGAGAGTATAACTCAGAAATTTTCATTTTCTCCAATGTAAAAAAACTCTAATCAAATAACTTATATATTGATAGTAAAACCTTGCTTTCCATGGAAATTCCCAGATGTTGGGATAGTTCCAAACATTCATTATTTTGATTACATGACAGATCTTTTATTGGCATTGAAATTGGAAGATTAACTTTAGATACTTATTTGGAATTATAGTGAAAAAGATAGGATTGGCAACTTAATATTTAAGTTAAAGGTTTAGGAGCAAGAAGGAAAAAAAAAGTATTGTTTCCATGTAGATTAACAGAACATGAAACTTTCTAATATAAATTAATATTAATGAATAGATAAAAATAACAGGTCAGTGGCTTAATTCATTTGTGGCTAATATGGGTGATAAAATCTTACAAGTAAATTTTACTGAATTGAGTGAAAACTGCATTCATTTAAATCGGTATAAGATTACATCCTGTATTTCAGCAGTTAATACATGAATGTTATTTGATTAGTATTTAAGAGAAAATTATAACCTATAGAGAATGATTCGCCTACATTGTTGTCTTCCAGATGGAACCAAGGCACAGTTAATTTTGGGTCTGAATATGAATAATAAGAAAGATGACTCATAACCATTCATGCTCAAGTTGTTAATATATAGTAATATATTAGGTAAGATCTCCTTAAATCTAGTCTGTTCAAAAGGAGAAAAATCCCACAATTTTTGGACTTAGCTATTTGTCAGGATAAAAATTCAAAAATTTGTACAGTATTATAGATTTCTGTTGCTGATATAAACACAAAGCTTGCTAGTTTAACCAAATAAGACACATGATTCTGTAGAATATTTTTTCCGTACAATTACTGCTTTAGAGTATTTTAGTTTGCCTCTTTGAAACTGCTGTTGGTGGAGAAGCATCTTTGACTAGAGATTACCTGATGCTTCTTCTTGAAGCAGAAAGAGATTTTATAAAGAAAATACTGTGCAGTATAACAGAACTCTGTTTATGTGATTATTAAGGAATATTGGGCCATTAATTCTTGTACTGGAAAAATAGTTAATTTTTTATTTCTATTAATTTAAAATGTGATGTCTTGAAATAGTTAATATTACATTCAAATGGGCGAAAGTGATCATTCTGAGGCAGATCAATATGGATAATTCATATTATTTACTTGTGGACCCATATTTTGGTAGGAACTTAGAGCAGTACACAGATACACTTTACAAGAATTTGTACTGTAGATATCAGATGAACATATAGGTCTTGATAAATTTGCCCAAGGTAAAACTACTCTAAAATTAATATGTGGTTAAAACATTGTAATAACAACAATGAATGAAGAACAGCCACTGTCATCTATTCATAATTCCTTTGTCTAAGTCTAAGACCTTAGTCTCTGCTACTTTAAAAAAAAAAGGATCCTTCACCCCATTAATTTTTTGTTATATGCTCAAATGGTGAACTTAAGGGCACATGGGAAATTTACGGGAGATTTTCTGAAGGAGGCAGGAACAAAAGACATGTCAAGTTGCATTTTAGTCTGCATTCCAAATCTACTGAGCAGGGTTCTTACAAATCAAGTTCTTTCTTGCCTGCCATACACTGCATCTGTTACTCAGGTCTGAATACTTTTGACAGTCCATAATGTTAATTGTGTTAAGATAATTATAAGCAGAATATCCTTCCCAGTTCTCAGGTACACTTAGATAAGTTATCTAACATCATACATATATTTGTCCCAGCATTTTCAACATCTTGCCCATTATCTCTGTTTTGGCAATTTTGCATTTATGAACTTCCAGAATACAACACATTTGAGATTATATTGTTCTGCCTGTATTTCCTTCTTTCTAACAACTATGAATCATATAGAATGGTTTCATCTTTGCTACGATGGAAACTATGCCCCAGTTATGAAATTGTTAAAATTCTGACAAGTTTTCACACATGGTTTTAATGGCCAGTTGGCCAGCATTGCAGTGTATTGTAATATAGAAAACATATGAATGTAAACCATTAAACAAATTTACTGAAGCAAGTTACATAATATTACACTAAAAATTTATTTACTCAGGTTTTTGTAAGGCCATATATATATATACTACATAATATTACACTAAAATTTTATTTATATATCTGGCCTTACAAAAACCTGAGTAAATAAATCATGGAAGAATGTTTATTGAATTGGGATATTTCTGATAATCAGGGTTAATTATGGACAAGTTATTATTGTGGAAATAACATGGTTACTTGAATCAGTGAAATAACCCTAGCAGGCAAAATATACAGATAGTCCTCAACTTAACAGCCATTTGTTTAAGTGACCATTCGAAATTACAACAGTACTGAAAAAAGTGACATGACTGTTTTTAACACAACCCTTGCAGCATTCCTGTGGTCACATGATCAAAATTTGGACCCTTGGCAAATGGCATGTATTTATGATGGTTGCAATGTCCCAGGATCATGTGATCACCTTTTGTGAAGTCATTTGGGAAGCCAGACTCAATTAACAGCTGTATTACTAACAACAATTGCAGTGACTCACTTAACAACTGTGGCATATAATGGAGCAAAATTCACTTGACAATTGTCTGGCTTAGCAATGGAAACTTTGGTCTCAACTGTGGTGTAAGTTGCTGGCTACCTCTATCCTAAATCAAAATTCTGTGGCTATTGGTTTGTCCAAGTCCTGTCTCAAATCTGTGTTTTATATGATCAGAAAGTCTCTCACTTATCTTCCCCAAACAGATTCAGACAACCAACATGGATTTTATTCTGCTTTACCTGGAATGGGCTCCTTCAGGGAATCCTGAAACCTTAAGTTTTGCACTAATGAAGAGCATTGTCTGCTGAAGATTCCACTCTTGCCGCTGGAGCAGCAGGGTGACTATTAAACACAGTTTAGGGATGCTCTCGATCATGAGATAGATTGAATACAATGAGTGCAACGCTTGCTCCTAGCCTACAATTGCAGCACTGCATAAACCAAACAGGGAAGACAAAGCTGGAAGTGGAAAACATCTAACTGGTGTGCCATTTTCTTCCTGTAAGGAAGCGAGTTTTCTAAGCAAAGCATTAACAAGCGATTCCCTTCACTCTCTGCCAATTCTGCTAATAGTACAGAATTGTATAGAGAAAGTCCCAAATTCAAGCCCTGGTGGGACCGCGAAAATCTCCTCCATCCCAACATAACTGCCGTGGAGGGTAGAGCTGGGTTGTTCCCATTTTGTATATTAAACTTATAGCCACACATGCAGCACAGACGGCGTATGCCCTGTCATTTTTTTTTTCTTCTGTCCGAAACCAGAATGGCTGCAATTATTCCAGGAGCCACATGGTGGAAGCACTGGGGACCCTGCACCGTTTTAGACTGAAGGGAAAGGAGCGGCCCGCCCCTTCGCGGTAGCTGGCTTTTCGCTACAGGAAGCGGAGGGCGAACGCTCCACGTGTGTTTCGGTTCAGCGTAGCGCTCC